ATTTATATCTGCATAGCCTGATAGCGGTTTTATAAGATGATTTTTAATTGCATGTTGACTTAGGGGCGTCGGCAGAATTGTTGAATTGAAGCCGGGCATAGAAGGCATTCACAGCTCATCCGAGACTAAACAGGGGTCATTATGCTATGAATGAATATGTATACGTGAGCTGATCATTTTCGAATAAAACATGCCTTCGAAATAATTCGACAAATCGAGAAATAGAGACGGCCGCCGACCTCACAACGTAAAATTAAAAGCCGGGTATTTTGACTTTCATTGTTCAAAGTTGGAAAAGAATTCTTACTGATGTCCAACCATGCTTCAATTAATGCGCTAAAACGAGTCACATTTACGCATTTGGCGTGAAGAACGGTAACACGTAACCTGGTTTTATTGGCTGCATTCCATCGGATCATATGTAATACGTCCATCAATGTGATGTGCTTGTGATACTCGTTTATGTTGTATTAGATTCATACTGAATCATTAATGCATATTGACCGAGATATGGCCATGAACAAATACATAGGCGTATCAAATCTAATCTTGGTTTAAAAATCGAGAAATACGACGTCGTCATTGGTTTGCGGTAAAAACCATGATTTTTCACTCGTCGTTACAGAAAGTTGGCAGAAATTTGTCTTCAGAGGTTTCAGAAAAAAACAATCGTACCATTGGAGAGAGCTCATTGTGGGCTAAATTTAGAGTGAAAAACATTTTTAACTCGACGAGATTTAATAGCCCAATTAACGCGCGAATGTGATACACATTTGTGCATTTTCAGTGAATTTCTGTGAAAAAATGTTTTACACGTTTGTACCCGTAGCTGGGTGGTATTTAATCGGGTCGAAATAACTTATCCATATGCGCATTGCCCTTGTAATAAGCTTTCATTAACTATAAAAATGATCATTCAATGACGAATATTGACCGAGATATGACCGTGAACAAATATCATACGCGTATCAAATCTAATCTTGGTATAAAAATCGAGAAATACGACGTCATTGGTTTGCGGGAAAAACCATGATTTTTCACTCGTCGTTACAGAAAGTTGGCAGAAATTTGTCTTCAGGGGTTTCAGAAAAAAACAATTATACCATTGGAAAGAGCTCGATGTGGGCTAAATGATGAGTGAAAAACATTTTTTAACCCGACTTGTTTTAATAGCCTATTTAACCCGCGAAAATGATACACATTTCTGCATTTTTAATGAAAAATATGTCAAAACTTTAGCACCCGTAACTGGTTGGTATTTTATCTGACCAAAATAATAAATTCACATACGTAATGCCCTGGTTATAAGCTTTCATTAATTATCAAATTTATAATATAATGATAAATATTGACTGAGATATGATCGATTAGAAATGCATGTATACACCATGACGTTCAAAAGCGTGAAATTTAAATGGACTGATCACCGTAGATTACTACGCGATTTTGCCGAAAGAACAATGGAAATGACGTCTTGGATCTCCTGCTGAGTTCAATTTCAATTCATGAAATATTAACATGACGGTTTTTAGAATTGTTACTTAAATTTATTGGACCCTGACGAGAAATTTTACAATAGTTCACGGTGTTCCAGATAGAATTACTTCTAGTCAAGAATTGGTTAGAGACTCGAGTAATTCTGACCAGTTAAGCCAGTATCTACTCCTGACGTTCTATATGCAAGTGCTTTTTATAAACAATGTGCATACATTTCTGCCCCGCTGAGAACCTAAATTGTTTGTTGTGCACTGTAATGCTGCAGGGTATTGCAATTCTTTGCATGTGCAATCATACTGGATGGACAGAGCCACATATATTTCCCAATCTATTTCAACACATCAATGCCGCGCAAATGCAAGATCTTACATGATTAAAATATAAACATCTAGCGCCAGTTTGGAACATAATGAACATTATCCAGCTCTCTATAAAGCAGGGAAATCGTCATTTATTCTCATGCAACGACATTGGTTTATCAGTGTCAAGGAAAGATGGCAAATTTATTTGTATCACATGATTTATTAATATTTTATCAAAGTGTCAACCATGTACATCATCTTTTCAATCAAAAGTTATTTAAAAACACTATGGCAAAAAGTGTACATGCTCCACTTACTATCTCTGAACTTCTAATGCTGTTTTCCACTTGAGTTATTTTTCTCACTTGAGTTATTTTTCCCACTAAATTTTAACACAAAACAAGCTTTGTACAGTATCTTATTGATTATGTGACATTTTTCCATTATTTTTTTAACTTTTTCTGCATAGTGCCTCTTCTAACACAAATAGATTAATCTCTATGATGATATTTAAGCTTTTCATAAATCTTGATCGTTGAGTATAAGTGCTGTCTTCTCAGACGCCCGCTCAGACGCTGGTACCCCTCAGGCCTCATCTTAGTTTTAAGGAGTGCCATCATCTTCTTTTCTGATATATCTGTCATTTTGATTATATGTATCTCAATTCAGTTTGTTGTTTCCATCATCAGGCCACATACATAGTTTGACATTGCAGCATTCGATCTTGACATTGAAGTAAACAAATGTTTTCAGATTTCAACTATATCATAGCTAGTCTCTATTGGATTTCCTGCACATTAATTTGTCACTTTCAATCATCTCTGAGACTAATTGATAAACAAAAATATATAATCTCAGTAGCTTTTTTTAGAAATCATACAAGGAAAAATGCTTTGAGGTTAAAAAACATAAGATTCCAATGATCAAAATGCCTGATCAGAAATACTTATTTAATTTTGTGGATATTTGGTTATCTTGTAAACAAACTTATCGCTTTATTTCTTTTTTCTTTTTTTTCTTTGTCCAGTTTGTTTTCATAGTTAAATATTATTGTGGTTAAAGAAACAGGAAACTTGACCTTCCATTTTTCTACGAGTTGAAATGATGAATTCTGTAAGTGAACTAATCAATTCTACAATGGAGAAGACCGATTCCACATGAATTTTGCAAGATTTCTCTTTTTTATTTAAGACCAAAAATGAGGCTAATACATGTAATATAGCAAAAAATATTATAAAAGAAAATTTTCATTCCTAAAAATACTGTACTTTTGCAGTCTTTTGCCTATAAAACATTTAAGAAAAGCAACCAGAAATATTTTGGGAGATTTTCTAGTGAATTCTTATCAAGTAGTAAAAGTAGTAGAACTGCTAAATACAATTACTAAGAAAGGGCTGATTATTCATCATATTTTCAGGAACTGTGTTAATTTCTCAGGAAATTATACTGAAATTGATCAAAATTCAAGATCCTCTCATTTTGTGGGCCATTGCGAATTATGTCTGTGTTATGTAGATGAAAACTGGGAGTAGTGACTCTTGATCAGTTTATGCATGTAATGGTTGCGGAAAATGGATAAAAACCAACTAAAGTATACTTTTAATGACTTTTGTGTATCAGTATGTTTTATTAACAATGGTAACTTTTTGATAACCCTTATGGACTTTGAGTTTTCATTTTGTCTGTCCCATATCATTTAAGACCGAATGCTCTTGAATTTTATATAAAAATGTGTTAAAAAGGTGTTATCAAATTCATTTTTACAAACACGTGATTAAACGTCACATCTCAAAAGGAATTCTCAACGAACTGCATCATACTGGAATAGCCTGTATGATGACAAATGGCGGATATAACCGTCGCTTCAATTTGATTTTCATGAACTGTATGTTTAAAAGAGCAACTAGATTAAATTCTTTTGGTACTGCAATCACTCAAAGTGTTTTTCTACTGATCATATAGTTAAATATGTTCTACCATCGAAATAAAGGCTTTTATTTTTTCAATCAGAATATGACACAGGACAATGGATACTGTATAAATGACCACGAAGATGCTATATTGTGGCGATTCACGACCCCATTTAATTGGGATTTCATATAATACATCATCACACAAGCTTAACACATGCACAGAATTAGCGACAATAAAATCCCATGAAACGAGGACCAAGTGATTGAAGAGTTGAAGCGAAGGTTATGTTCGCCATTTGCGACAACCATATCTGACTTTACCGTTGTCAGGCTATTCCGGTGTGTGTATAGCAACTGTGTAATAAACAATTATTTCTGATCGCAAAAGGTCCTTGTAAAGTCCTAAGTATTCAGTTATTTCTGACAGTTCCTACGAATTATTTTATATTTTTTGTACAAATGAATTCTTGTAACATTAGAAATAAACATCTCATAAAATATGGTGATTGTTATCGGTAGCAAACATGAAGAAATTTTTTTAAAGTTCGCCAACTTTTCACTAGGGTAAACTTCCCGGGAATTTTAAGATTGTATGGGAAGCCCCGCCTACTCGATCAGCGGGATTGGCATGGAAAATCAGAGAAACTAAACACAGACAGGTTTTTAGATGCGTGTATATCAGAATGATTAATAACTCAGTGACCGAGGGAAACATAGATGTCATCTGAGGGATATTCCCCATATCATCCTGACAGGTGAATAATGACCTTATACCATTTTCAAGAGCAACATCTACCTCAAAAATCATCTGTTGGATGAGAATATTAACGTGAAGTGTGTTTCATGTAATTAAAACAGAATAATAGAAATAACACTATCTGTCTCTGACTGTCGCTGTTCTTGACTAGATTCACTACTACGGAGACTCAGTAATTAGTCTTTTCGAGTTCTTGGTCTTGGTTGATTTTGCCATGTTAATGTTGATGCAACCTCAGTTGAAGTCTCAAAGGATATCCCCGGGAATATATATCTGGGTTAATATCAGAATCAGTGGGATCATATGGATATCAAATCTAATATCATCCCACTAATTCCAATATATCCCGATATCAGTCCCGATCTCAAATTCTCTGACCATGGTATAATTAAACAGATTCATCTGCTTCTCCATCCTGTACCATCATCCTTTCTGTTATGTAAGTCTTCAAAGTAAATATGAAATATCAGATATAATTGTGCTTTAGCATAGGGGCTAATACTTTCTAATACACTGTACTTTATGAAACATAATTTATACTAAAACTATATAATTACATATTATACACTTTGGTAATTCTAAAATGGCTTTGTCGGAGTGTTTTCGTACATCATTTGCCTGCCTTAGTAGGTTCTTATTCATGATACATGGCTTAGTAGCAGTTTGGAAAATAGCAGTATTTTATGGTGTCTATGGATGGATTCTCTGTATCGGAACCCTAGGCATATTCGTTGAAGGAGCATATGTCATTTTCAAAAGACGAGGAGTTGAGATCAGCAAAAGGTAAGTCTTTTTTGTAAATACTTGTATATCTATTAAATGATATACCAATTGACCTTTGTTGACCTTATGTTGAAAATATTGTGTGATCCAGTTTTGCCCTTTTAGTACATATATTATCAATTGTCAGCTTTTTACCAAACACATTCCAACATTTGTCTCAATCTCTTACAGACCTCAAATGGAAAATATTAATCATGCATTTTTATATTTTCAGCATATGCCCTACAGTACTGTTCTACCTGATAATGACAGTGCCTTGTGTATGGATGATTAAGATGCATAGCCTCAGCATGAACCAGGAAGAGCTTTCGACTCTTTTCAGTGCTGGAAATTATGACTCATCCAACAATTCATCAAAATCTTCTTATTTTTATGAGGTAATTGTTAATTTACATGGTAATTAGGGGTCAGACCATTATTGGCCTCTATGGTTCATTTGTTTCAGAAAATTTGTTAAAATCGTTTTTTTTGTAACAATATCAATTTTAGGAAAGTTACTGTTCGTAAATGCATGTTTACTAAAATAACCTAGATTGAAAAAATGCTGATGATGGTCTTGACATTATAAAAATTGCAAAATACAGTGATCAGTGATCATACAGGCTAATTTTGTTCTATATTCTTTATCATATCAGAATATAATAGTGCAATGAGAACGGAGAATAACTGAACCAAAACAGAACTGAGTGAGTCAAGAACTGAAACCAAACCCAAATCTCTGACCCCTTATTGCGATGTTTAAAATCTCTGGCAAATATGATTTATGAAGATGTTATGTCAAAATTATTGAATCAAGCCACCCTATGATATATGTTCACAAATTTTAAAATATTTCTTCTTTTATTTCAGGATATAGATATACCCGTATCAGATGAAACATTTGAAATTGCCATTGTACAATCCATGTTGCTGTTGATCCTACTGGGCAAGTGGTTATTACCACACCATGAAGCAATGACCCGCCAACAACTCTCAGAACAACTTATAGGATATGTAGGCGTAGCAGCGGACATCATTGATCTGTTGGATATCTTCACGAGTGATTGGAAGCAAGGACAAGATGGAGTAGTTTATGCTATTTTGGCTGTCTATAGTGTTAGTCTATTTCAGTTCACATTTGCATTACCAAGTATCACAAGTACTCAGAGTCAGACAACAACGCATAAATGCTGGAATGCCACTGTTGCTAGTATATTAATCGCCACATTTATGCATGATGCTCCTTTTCTCATAGTCCGACTTGTCACTATCATTCACTACAGAATTGTCACATACACAAACATATTTTTCGCAGCTAAGAATGTTTTAATAATCAGTCTACAAGGATATAAACTCTATGGAGTATGTGTACCAGAGTCTGAGCACCTTGATGAAGGAGATGTGCCAACTGAGCATATGAATGAAGAGGCTATACAATCAACATCTGGGAGGCAAATAATACCTGATGTAAAATTCCGTGGAAATTCCAATGTCATTACTTCAAGAAATAGAACAGCAAAACTTCCTGCAAATGAATTATATTTAGATGATGATGTCTGGAGTTCCCCAACAAACCCTACAGGACATAAACTGCCAGTTCGAAGACCTATACCTAAAATGCAAAGACCTCCGCAACTAACATTTGATGACAACCAACGAAAACTAGTTGCCATGGTTTCGGGACCTCAACTGCCATATGATAATAACCATCCAGTACAAGCAGCTACAGTATCAGGAAATCAGGGAGCATATGAAAACTACCTTGCAAAAAGAGTTTCTTCGATCACAAAACGTCAATCTCCTCAACCTGTTTACCACCCATTGGATGATACTGAACCAACGCCAGACTACCAGTATATTTACAGATAATCAAATAAGGAAACATCAAATTCCTGTTCCAACATGAGTACCCAACTCAGGCTCTAAGTAATTCATTCAGTGCTATCATGCCTTCTTTCTTGCAGATGTTTGATTTCCCTTGATATTGAGCTTGTTCATTAAAATGTTACCATATAACTTTAAATGTCATCATATAAAAGTGAAATGTCAAATAAGTGTGGATCCCCTGGAATAAATGCACGGTCTACATTTAGTTTAAGCAAGGTGACATAAATATACATGTATAACATCTATAACATAAAGACATAAATATATGTACACTTAAAAACATCATAAAATAGTTTTGTTTTTGTAGATTAACTGTGTAAGGCAGGCTGGACATATTGCTGCTGCCACTATGGTTAAGATAACTATCCATCTTGATCATACTTTTGATGAAATGCATTCTCAAGGACATAAAATAGTCTAGGTCCCCCTTTCAAATCTTTATTGTTAAAATTAGTTTGTGTTAGTTCTTAAGATTGTGGCCTAATACAATGAAAATAGGCAGGTACCTACAGTGTCAAAATGAACGTTGGTATTGTATGACCTTATATACAATAAAAAATACTAAACAAAATCCATGGTTATCTCATGTAGCAACTTTTAATTTGAATAGTATAGAGAAGATGTAACCACAAGTGCCAAAAGGGAAAACCAAATAATATTTCAAAACACACCAAAAAGCAAGTCTGATACCCCTGTTCCTCACCATTTAGGTGTCTTAGCTATTAGTTTTATAAATCTCGTAATGGGTAAAAGAACCTAATCTGTTATTTTACACATCAACACGCGGTACAAACTTCGACCGTTAATTTGAATTTTTGACCTACCAGATGTTTGAAAATCAAGGATTACGAGTCTCATACTGCACCGTTTTTCTTCAAACTTGTTCCATTCAAAGCATAACAAAAATCCCTTTCTGTTGGTACATTATTCTCTTAAACAGAGTCCCTACTTCCAGCGGCATTTTGGTCCCCAGCTGTAAGAAGGCCTTCTAACAGCTGGGGACCAAAACGCTGCTAGAACGAGGGACTCTTTACAATAAAGTAATGCACAGACAGAAAGGCAATTTTGTTTTGCTTTTAATGGTATAAGTTTGAAGAAAGACGTTGTAGTATGAGACTCGGAATCCTTGATTTTCGAGCATCTGGTAGGTCAAAAATTCAATAAGGATATTTGATGTACATGTAACTATAAATTCTGAATTCTTGAAACTTGCATGTATGAATATATGCATGGATAAATATGTTTTATAGTACCCAATTATACATTCCAGTCCTCCGCAGTCACAGAAGTTGGCAAATTCAATGAAAGGAAGAATGTCCAAAAGGTTCCCAGCCCTCTCAAAGTGAAACAAAGGACCCATCATCTACACTCTAGGGCATTCCATGCATCTTTGGGTATGTGCAATGATTATTCTCTTAAGATGAAATACCTGTAGCTCTTATCCTTTATCACCCAAACTGTTTTTAATTCATAGTGATATGTAACATACACCAACAGTAGACTTTATTGCAAGCATAATCTCTGTATTTCAAGTCCTCATAGCCATGATAGCAGATTTAATCTTTCAATGTATTATTTGGTCTTAAAGCACTTGTGTTTATATATCATTATCATTTATCCATTTAAGAAGTATTATGCGGAGTATTATGTTACCAGATGATGTGTCATAAAAATTCTATCATTTCTAATTCATTCTTAAACCTGGATTGATATTGATTTTACATTTTTCACAATTATTTTAGATTTGCGTTTAGTTTGCTATATACATTTACATATAAATACTAAATGTTTGTGTACAGTGTTTATTTGTTATTGGATTTTATCCTATCAATCAAATTTATGTAGAATATTTTCTTTCAGTGAGCCAGGGGAAAATTGTTCCTTTTAAACTTTCTGATATTGGTGAGGGGATACGAGAAGTCCATGTTAAAGAATGGTAAGTGGATATACCTTTATGTCAACAAATTTTGGACATTTTTAATAAAATTAATTTCACAATGCACAATTTAAGTGATGTATTGAAAACACTTTTTAAAACTGAGTATTTTCATGGGCTTTCAATTAGATCTAGTTGAAAGCCCATCATTTAAATAAACAAGTTCCTTTGCCATCTGACAAAAAACATTAACACTGACTTGGAAATGCAAATTACCTGAAAGATTAAACTGGAAACTAAACACTGGTTCCCTATAAACTTATTCAAGTATTTTGTTACAAATTGAATCAATTGCCATATTTTCCTATTTTCTGAAAATATCAGCTTTTCTGAAGTCAAATATACTGGACATTATTTAATTGATGTTGCGCCATTTTAAGTCTGTACTGTAACTAAGTCAAATTGCTACATTTGCATTTCAGGTTTGTGAAAGAAGGTGACACTGTTAGTCAGTTTGACAGTTTATGTGAGGTCCAAAGTGACAAAGCTTCAGTTACCATCACTAGTCGCTATGATGGAAAGGTTAAAAAGCTCTATTATGAAATAGATGATTTAGCTCTAGTTGGGGACCCTTTAGTTGACATAGAGACAGATGAAGACTCTCCATGTAAGGATTATTACATCAGGGATTACAATAATATATTATTTACAATAATTTACTATTAAGGGCTGTTTGGATATTGTGATTTTTGTTGTTACTTGGTTTTTGAAATTCCATTGCTGTTGCATTTTAAATACATGAGGAAAACATGTTTTTACATCAATATTTCTAGAGAGTTCACACTTTACTTGAGTAAAATATATTCATGCACATTTATAACAGATGGTTGAAATACAATTCCTCCATGAGTTTAAGTGAGTGAAGATTGTAAGAGCACATAGGATTTATGAAGCAAAATAATTTCAAAAATCTCAAAACACCAACACAAAGTTTCAGGCAACGGTGTGGAAAAATGAACACATGTGCCAAATGAAATATCACATCGAGATAAATTTTGAATTTATAAACTAATAAAGTGTCTGGTGGTACAGAAGTGCAAATACTTAACTCTGTAATAATTCTAACTGACTTCTAAAATTCTTTCCAGCATCCAGTACAGACACACCTACCTATGACCCCCCAGAAGAGGGTGAGATGACCATATCCAGTACTGATCACTCTATGCAAATGGTGAAAGGACACAAGGTGCTCGCTACACCAGCTGTCAGGAGATTGGCCATGGAAAATAAAGTAAGATATACTGGTATCTGATATTCAGGGAGGATATGGGATCAGTTTATCATATTCACAATGGATTTCAATTTGAAATGGTTTTGCGTACATGCAAGATGCATATTAATTTAAAATCCTCCAACAACCCTTATTATGTCACCACCACATATTGTTGAAGTCTCCAACTTTTTTGTCGGATGTTGGAGTTTGACGTCTGTAACAAATGTAACAAATTTAAGGTTGTGACATTTTGCATGATAATGCTTTGTATGAAATCTAAGGTGCTCCCATAATTTGTGACTGATAAATGTTTCACAATAATACATGTGTACTGCATACAATTGTTTGATTTCAATACCAATACGTATTTAATTGTAGATAAGACTAAGTGAGGTGTCTGGTACTGGGAAAGATGGACGTGTCTTAAAGGAGGATATTCTCAGATTTATGCAAGGAGAAGATACACCTAAAGGTAAATGTTATGTAGTAATGTTAATACATGCAAAATAGTAATGTTTAAAAGAAGAATTAAAGTTAACCGGATTTAAATACCATACAGTATGATTGAATTCATATGATTTATTAATAATAACTTTGTAAATGTAAATGATTTATTTGATGCATCAATGATAATTTACCACGAGATCAATATTCTCATTTTAAATTCAAGAAACTCCAGCCGTACAACCTAGTGCTCCACCTCAACCTGCTGTTCCATCCACCGCCCCTACCCCCTCTGCAGCTAAACCACCACCCCCACTGAAGAGGCCAGCACCAGTAGTCCTTGGTAAAGACAAAACTGAACCTCTAAAGGGAGTGCGTAAAGCTATGGTGAAAACTATGACTATTGCTAATGCCATTCCTCACTTTGGCTACTGTGATGAAATTGACATGACAGCACTTGTTAACCTTAGGGACAGTTTGAGAAAGATGGCAGCTGAGCGAGGAATCAATTTCTCATATATGCCTGTTATTTTAAAGGTGAGTGTCTTCATTTGAAATAAAACATAATACTTGTTGACATGTGACTGGATTTAAGGATTGATTACGCATCATATAAAAGCCCCTGTTAATTCATACTCTTCTATCAATGTATCCTTCAGTCAAACAAATGTTTGTCTGTCTCAGTTTTGGTACACAATAAAAAAACTTGGCTTTTGAAATTCACATCTTTCCAATTAATTAGCCACTTTATAATGAGTCTTTCCAAAGTAGTTGATTTTATATCTTCGCTATTATGCGGTCATTCATTAAAATTCAATGAATCGTGTAGAATTATTGACACAATGAGCAAAAGAAATTTCAATTTTTCTCAATACCTTGATGGGTCAATATGTACCTTGTAGTAATATTTACTTGACTTTAATGGTGAATTACATAATGTTCTGTTACATGTACTCTTGCAGGCAGCTTCACTTGCACTAGGCCAGTACCCAACACTTAGGTCAAGATGTACCTTATTAAACTGACTTATATGGTGAATTACATAATGTTCTATTACATGTACTCTTGCAGGCAGCTTCACTTGCACTAGGCCAGTACCCAACACTTAGGTCAAGATGTACCTTATTAAACTGACTTATATGGTGAATTACATAATGTTCTATTACATGTACTCTTGCAGGCAGCTTCACTTGCACTAGGCCAGTACCCAACACTTAGGTCAGGATGTACCTTATTAAACTGACTTATATGGTGAATTACATAATGTTCTATTACATGTACTCTTGCAGGCAGCTTCACTTGCACTAGGCCAGTACCCAACACTTAGGTCAAGATGTACCTTATTAAACTGACTTACACCCCCAAAATGCAATCTGATTTTCGACGCCGTTTCGGTGCCAAATTTCGGTGCCGTTTCGGCACCAAATGGACTGACTAGTCCGGTAGCAAATTTTGGTGTCGAAAGGTTTCGGTGCCGGAACGGTGTCGAAACGGTGCTGGAACAGTGCCGAATTTGTTTGATGCCGAAACGGCGTCGAATTATATTGGCTGTGTATATGGTGAATTACATAATGTTCTATTACATGTACTCTTGCAGGCAGCTTCACTTGCACTAGGCCAGTACCCAACACTTAAGTCAAGATGTACCTTTTTAAACTGACTTATATGGTGAATTACATAATGTTCTGTTACATGTACTCTTTCAGGCAGCTTCACTTGCACTATGCCAGTACCCAACACTTAAGTCAAGATATACCTTATTGAACTGACTTATATGGTGAATTACATAATGTTCTGTTACATGTACTCTTGCAGGCAGCTTCACTTGCACTAGGCCAGTACCCAACACTTAATGCACATGTAGATGACAAGTGTGAGAACATTACTTATAAGGTATGTTTCCGATGAGAATGATATATTAGAATTGATTGATAAAATCTAATAATCTATATGTATATGCGGAACATAAAATATATGCTTTGTACAACTATAACCATAAACAAAAACAAGTTACACTAATGAGAGAAACATCTCTAATATTTGAACTAACCATTTACATGTACAAACTTATATTGTGACAGATACATTCCAAGTAAACAACATCCAAGTTCATTTATGTTAAACAAATATCAAACTTTTACATTCCATGCCGTCATCAAGAAGATGTGTTCTTTGCCAAAGACCTCAATCACTTTGCAGACTTCAAAATCCTCAGAGGAAATAATTGTATCTAATGATAGGTCATTTTGTTTAGAGGAGATACATGCACCTATCTGTGAGCTTTTGAGATGATATTGAATGAAAGTGATAAAGTATATTGTGTTTATTATTTTTTTCTAGGCAAGCCACAACATAGGTCTAGCAATGGACACTCCAGATGGTTTGATGGTCCCTAACATTAAGAATGTCCAGGCACTGAGTATATTTGAAGTGGCTTCAGAATTAACAAGACTTGTGGACCTAGGAACTAAGGGAAAACTTGGCCCCAGTGATTTAACTGGAGGCACCTTCAGTATATCTAATATAGGATCAGTAAGTTAAACCTTAAAAGTTGAAGTTAAAAGTTAAATCTGTGACTAATGCCATTGGGAAATTTCTTGTTCACCAGACCCCCTCTTATCTGTCAATTGCGAAAGAACAATACAAGACAAAGGCGGGCAGTTATTGCGATGCCATTAAAACCATGGAGTATGATTTGTACACTTTTTCAAAGATGGATTAATTTTTAAAATTAATATTTTTTTGATATTTGTTCAGTTGGTGCCATCATTGCATCTGGTGGTGAAAAAGCAGAAAGTTATTGCTGGCATAGTCACTATATGTTTCTTAAAGTATGAGAAGAAGAAGTGGTAATATAATGTTTGTAAAAATTTGCTTGTAGATTGGAGGAACATATGCCTCCCCAGTCTTGCTACCTCCTGAGGTGGCCATAGGTGCAATAGGCAAAATACAGGTGAGTTATATTTAATACCTGTACATGAATACATGTGAGTAATAGTATAATCACTGTATGATGAACCAGTGTTGGATTGGTGAAAATGTCTAAGTTTAATGTTACATATAACAAAGTGAATAATTTCACAGTGAAGATTCCAGATCGATAGTGTTTTTTAACAAAATCCTAGTGGAGTGTTTATAAATGGCTCACAATTTTGTTCAGTCTATTCATCATGAAACAATAAGTATTAGAACTTTTGTTTTATCATGACATTGTAATTGTACCATTTACAAAATGATAGAAAACGATCAATAGCTGTTCGCAATGACAAGATGGCATAAGAAATTCTAAATTAACATAGAATGAATGGCTAAATGGATTGAGGGTGAATTTTAATTGAGTAGCAATTCAAAACTCCAACTTCATATTTTATTGCAGACTCTGCCAAGATTTGATGCTGGGAATGTTGCGAAGGCTCACATAATGCAAGTCAGCTGGTCAGCTGATCACAGAGTCATAGATGGCGCTACCATGTGTCGTTACTCAAATCTATGGAAATCCTATTTAGAAAACCCTGCATCAATGATTCTTGATTTAAAATAAGTAGAGTGTATTTAGGACTATTTATACTAGGTTAGGGGACTGACTGTTAAATCTTGGGGACCCCACCTTTTCAGGATATGTTGGGCTTGAATTCAATAAAGTAGAATAGGTATGCTGTGTCTGGTAATCCTTATACACTGAAAATGCTTGATGGGAAAATTAACATTTTGGGTTTCATAGGGAATTTAAGTCCCAACGTTTTCTGATTTCAACAAATGGACAGACCCTCCCAAAATTTAATCACCATCCTTTAGGAGCTAACATGAATGTTTTCCAACTCTTTATATAAATCATATAGATTCTCTCTCTGTTTAAGAAATTGAAGAACAGTGTTTTTTATTGCCTAATCATGATACCTGTAGGCAGGGGGAATTGATGAAGAGCTTGGAAAATCAAATGTTTAAAATGTTGGAATGGATATTCATAACCTTGTAAGAACAAATCTGATACATTTTGTATCAAGAGTTTATGATCATGTAATCTCAGGACCAAGCTATAGCATTATGAGACATTGTTGTAACCGAATGAATCGGAGTTATTGTATTGGCCATTTCATAAATGCTATGTTGTTGCCATCTTAAAATATATTTTAAAACACCTCCACTGTGAGGTTAATTGGGAAACCTGTAAGAGATTGTGATACTCTTAATATTTGGCAACACTTAAAAATGGAGAAAACCAAACTTCGAGAATGCTTCACTCGGTATTGCTTTATCGATTTTCCACCTGGTTGTGGGCATAGAACACTTGCAGTATTTAAAACTGTTAATATTAATGTAATGACCTTGCAATATGTATTATCTTAATAGCTAGATCTGACATAATGCTTACTCACCAACATATTGAAGAATTGAGCAATAAGCCAGGCTGAGTAGAATGATTTTGGGATATTGTATCTAGTATACCTGGTACTTGTTAAAGTTAAAGTCATGTAGCCAGGGGGCCGTTTCTCGAAACTTATCTTATTAACAAATCGTTAATAGCAAATCATGGATTCGTTTCTATGGACACTGCATCGTTAATGGAATAACGAGACCCCCATTCGTAGTCGTAAAATCAATAATTGAGAAAAATTATGATGTAATTGTGAATCATTAACTTTCGAGAAATGGAAAAAATCGTTATAACAATTGAATTAACAATTTGTAAATAACGAAACTTTCGAGAAACAGCCTCCAGATTACTTGTTATACTTGGTCTTTATAAAATTGATGTAAGCAGCAATTCATTTTAAGCATTATCTGAAAGCGTATGAGAATTTGAGAGTTGTATAGTGTAATATACACTCTATGTATATGTAGATACTGAGAAGTAATAAAAGAATTATGGCAGCTAAACTGAAATTTATTGTATAAAAATACAGAAATACATTTAATGTCTGAGTGTATATACAAGGAGAATTTGATTCTTCCATTATTTACATGATATGAGATAGAACATTGTGTACGTTAACTTGAATATGACTGGTCCTTTTCATGTACAGTAAAACCTGTATATTAGAACAACTCTTATCTGATCACCTCACGATGTGATCACTTTTTTATACAATTTTTTATTCAATCAGCCATAGGCGTCAGTGTCAAAAACCTTGATATGTGAACACCTGCCAATCCAAACACTTTTTACCAGTCCCAGAGGCTTTTGGGGTTACAGGTTTTACTGTATGAAAATATCTTGTAGTCTAAAAGCAATATAATGTAAATCAGTCATTCTAACTGGTTTACAGGACAATTAGTATTCTTGTAAAAATAAAGTAATGTCTATTCATAGATATATCATATTTGTTATCATTTCAGACTACGTTTACTTTCAGTGGAGTCATGAAGTGCAAGTACTAAAATTCCTCTTAACGATACCCCATCCTCCTCGTCTTTAAAATTGTACATCTATATCCAATATTTAGTCAGTCAATTCTGGTATTGCATATTCCAGGACCAATATGACCCTCATTTATTTTTATATTGATACTAAAAATAGTTCCATTAATGTTCATGGCATCTTCTATTATTTAAAATTGCACTTAAAATATATACAGCAATTGTATCACCATGAGACTGAGTGTGATAAACAACGCATGGTGTGTCCTATGTTGTGTCCCTGTGTTGTATTCAGTTGTCTCTTTGTTATGGTGATGTGTCTTCTTGTTATGGTGATTTGTCTTCTTGATATGGTGATGTGTCTTCTTGTTGGCATGTGTCACTGTGTCAGTGTCTTGTACTGAGTTTTGCTCCCATGGAAACACGGGGAAAGGTTCTTCCATAGCTTAAAAATAAATTGAAATTCTATTTACAAAGGTATTGGATGATGCATCATGGTGTCTTAAGAGTTATTTAGACAGTCATATAAGTTAACTGCTCTTAAAACAAGACAAGTAAGTTAACTGGACTCAACCTTGCAGTACGAGTTCAGAGTGAGCCCCCATTTCCTTTCTTTTTTATTATGAAATTATATATTGGACAATTGAGTATAATTAGTTGAAACATTTATAAGGTGGTATCAGAACTAGATTTTTATCAGTGTGTAAAACAGATTGAACCAAAGAAAACTCCCTCGCACAATTGTCTATTATTAGTATCATCCATCCCATTTGAAGTCTACCCGGACAAAATGACTGCATCCTTGTCACGAAAATTCAAACTTTTATAGATTAAGAAAAAATCAACAAGTAGTAAATACCAATCAACTGTTTTCTAATTGTACTTACTGCATGTATCGAATCGTTTCTGTCTCATGCAGTCCATCTCCCCGTTGAAACAGAAGCACATGAAGCAGCCTGTTGGGTGCCAGGTACCATGTTCTATCTCAGGGCCGCAGAACTCATGCTCTAGGTAGTACTCGCAATAACGCCCATAGTAGCGACTGGAAATAAATGAGTGGACTGATGAATAATCTACGAAATGTGTATGCGTTGTTTCTCACCAGTGTGTATCATTTCAAGATAATAAATATGGCTACTCCTAGTAACTTTGAATATTTGAGAAATATATATATTTCAAAATTACTTCTAAAATTTTGCTACCCCTATGTATCATATTCAATCATTATCTTAAAATAGTTAATTTCACCAATTTGTACACTTTACAATTAGTAACTGAATAACTTTGTTTGAATTCAAGATAATTATTCGGAATAGCGAAAATTCGGAATGATTCTTCTGTCTTAAAAATAAGAGATATAATGAGAAAAATAGAAGACAACTAATTTTACAAATAAAACTTAATTTGCAATGTAGTTACTACTGAGTACGATGATTCAAAATTAAATCGAAATGTTGATCAGCGGGGTTTCATCTGGAACTCATTTTCTCCAGTGTGAACGATATCTATTTTAGAAATCAATTTCGCCGATACGATCTGTACCTAGTTTTAGCTTGATACAGTATAATCTAGGATGAAGAAACGAAATATATATCTTCATCTGAGATATAATTGAAAAATGTGTACTCACTGATCACAATGGCAAAAGTTTCCAAGGTAACAGATGCCGTTACCGTTGCAGCAATCCTTTTTGGATTTCTTTGTTATTTTCACTTTCTTTGACGTCCCTCCATTTGCACGGTTATGGTGCTTTCTCCCTGGATTGGTGCTGATTTCATTCGTGATCTCTTCGTTTACACGATCACCTGAAATTAATGGCAAAATATTTATGATTTTGTTACATACAATATGATAAATTACTGGAAATGCATTAAAATCATAATATATCTATAGTTTCAGTTGCACCACTTGAAGTTGTACAGTGTAATAAAAATTTTGATGGCGGTAAATTAAAAAATATATATCCATTTTACAAGCCTACAGGATTCCCCAAACCACACTCCTTGTGTAAAATCATTGCATGACAATTTATTATTTTTCACGTTTCTGAACTAATGATGAAAGCGTTGATACTGAGAATTAGCACAACTATTACAACCTTATGATTGCATGTTACAATAGTTTATTATTATAAAGAGAAACACAACTGTGATAATTGCTCATCATTGGTTTAAGACTACAGGTTTGGTTAATAGAAATTGGCCTTTTGTGGAAAATTGTTGCATATATAGAGCAACATTAACAGTATGGAACAATATGAAATGGAAAGTGAGTTGAATAAAGTTAAACTTCTCATGAAATATAAAGCGCTAAGCCGGTAACGGGATAATTACAGCTTGGATTATGGGAACATTTCCAAAGTTGCTATGGTTACATTTCTTCAATTTGCAAATATGGAATTAACTTATTAATCAGATAATCCGTTAATGTAAGCAAGCTTTCATTCCAGTTATAGAGATGTGACTTAGAACACAAATAGTTTAACCATATGGTTTGCATTAGGACATCCATATCCACGGTGGCCCATCTAAGTTTGAATCAACCCAGTTTGAATTCTAAATCCCATAAACAAGAAAGTCTGTTTGAAATATTTTAAGCAAGTTTTGTCACCTATAATGTAAATAATTAAAGGTCCTCGAGTAGCAGTTTAAATACTAGAAATTTCTGTGAAACTGTCCATTAAAGACACACTTTGAAATACAATAGCAATTAGTGTTGTTACAGAGCTAAACATCGTTGAGGACCATGGAGTGTTTGATCAGGGGTATGTGACATTTCGAGTGGGTGATGAGTACCGCTATAAATATGTTGTCGCGTGGACCAGCTGCATTCATTAGCAATCAGACTTTTAAATAACGTAATAATTAAAATAAAATAGTTAGGTTGACTCAAATACTTGATGAACAAGAACATCTTAATAAAGTGTAAATAGCCATTGACTTTACTTATTGACTCACCCATGAGGCCCTTGAGGCGTTCAATACAAGTTACAGCCTATTGCAGTATTGGGTATACCTAGGGCCCAACCTAGGGTATACATGTATGTGTTGAGATATCTTGCATTTTTCACAGCATAAGAACTTTTGGTAGCCCAGTGTGTAGTGAGAAAGTGTAATTTTCATCAAAATAAATTTACCTTTTATAGTAAGAGACCTAGTTCAAAATTACATTTTTTGATCTAATGTTACAGTGACTTTTCCTCATTTTTTCAACTTTTGTAATTGTTTGTAACTACATTGTACCTTAATAAAATTTGTAAACTTACGTTTCTCTGGGTGGTTCTTATGTTGTCCCCTCTTTCCAGACTCTATGGAATGTCCTGAGACTCCAGTAATAAACACCAACCAAAGCACACTACTGAAACACCAAAACACAACCATCAGTCTCATGGATTCTGTGTTGTCAAATGCACTTCAACAATTATAAGAACGTGATTGTGCTAAAATTGTGCTTTTGTACCAAATGCCTCCAAATCGTTTTGTAATTTCTCAATGATGACTGAATATTAAAAACAGGTATTTCAAATATAAGAAGCCAAAATTCCTTATATTTACGATCATATTATATTAATATATAATTAGCTATCATGATGAGACAGATACTTCAATTAACAACCAGAGATATGGCTTCTTTATCTAATTAAATTCTTTGATCCTTTGCTTTGATCTTTCCTGCCAATGATCAAAATAGACTACTCTTCAATTTCTTCTGTTGATGCTTATATCTATTACCTCATAGAAAAATAAAATGTGCACCTCAAAAGCATATCAAAGTCGTTCTCCCCCACCCCTTAAAAAACTTGTCACAATCAGGTCGATGGCAGTCGTTATCTGGGAACACAATCATCTTAGATCGTTAAATACTGAACCTCATTTAAAATATGACAGTGTTGTTTTTCAGTAAAACAACTTCTTGGCTTCAAGAAATAATGAACAGAACCCCTTGAAACAACATAATAGTATAGAACTTGAATAGTTTTTACCTTATCATGTTAGATGTCCTCATCTTGTCAGTTCTTGTTCTTATCTTTTCTCTTCTTCCATAGTGCAAGCATTTTATATTTTTATTCCTAGTAAGTTTTCACAGTTTTCTTTCTGTTAATGTATTGCGTCTTGTATGTTCCATTGATTAGCAGTTATTGGCTTAGGAATGAAGTGGGGTAAATACTAATGAAAACATTACCCTCCAACTAGGGTTACGTAATTGGCTATGTTTGGTTGATCCAACCAATCATCATCAGCTACATCAGCGGGGGCATTGTTTGGCTTTACCGTGTTGATTTTGACAGATGATCTTTGTTGATGAAACAGTTGCATGTTTACTCTGGTTTATGACTTATGTTAGATGTGTTTTCTATTATCTTGCTCTGTTGTTCGTTGCCTGCTGTGCTCATGGCGCGAGAAAAAGAGCAACATACAAAACACAATATTGTGAACTGCGTAAGGTTAGCTTGGTCGGATCAATCCCCCGAGTAACCCTGGTCAAACTGTTGAGATTTAAATTTAGAGTAATTCAAAGCAGCTTGAAACCCCGGGGCTTGAAAATGACTCGAAATGGGATGATGGTTCGGCTGGCGCAACCAAAGTTGAGAAAACGCAATCTCCGGCGTAATCTGGTAGAATTTTCAGACGACAAAAATGTCAACAGACCACATGTGGAGTTTTGTTGATGAATTAAGGAGAAAACTTGAAGATGATGATCGAATTAATAAGCTTGTCGCCACCCCAACTACCCTGATAAACGATGAGGCCGTGATTTTGACCGAATCAGCGACCAGGTAGAGTGAAATAATCGCGAATTAGAAAAATTTCGAAATTTTTAAGCCAAAATTCAAACTTTCAAATAATCTAAGATTTTCAAATATTCAAATCTACATTCTTCTTCTTCTTCCTTGATTTGATGGAAAGGACCAATTCATCGATGTATTGGATGATGAAAGTAATCCAGAGCCCATCCTCCCCCCCACCACACACAGACAAAAGTCATTCACCCCCCCCCCCCCACCTTCAGGTCAAATGAATAAAACCATGGGCTTTCAACTAGACCAATATCAATGGAATATCTAAATCTGAAAAGGTAAGCTTTGTTTTGGAAGTATGGACCACAATGACATGTACTGTTCTAACCCCGGGGTTCTGACTCTATCTCATAATCTGAGTCACCATATTAGAGACTTTCAGACTCAGAACAGTAATTTAATAGATGTCGCTACTTGTTGCCACATGTTCCTGTGGTATGGAGGTGGGACTTCTGGGAGGTTTAAAATTTTGCCCAAAAATCACTTGTAAAGAGCTCAGGAAAAACTGACTTTGAAAGAACCCTTGCCTCTTGCTTCTGGCCTGGTGCTAACAGAGCTCCCATCATGACATCACCATTTTTTATGAACATGTATTTTCTGTTTTCTGCCTTTCTGCTTTGAAAAACAATTAGACTACCAATTAACATTTGTATATTTACTTATGACCAAAATGCTGTTATTAAAAATATTCAATTTACAGTAATAACATTTGACATTCCAGGGATAACACCCTTGGGAAGATTGAAAGTAAAATATTAGAAATATGCAGAGGACTTTCCAATGGAGAACCTCCTTCTCTCACATATGACAGCAGAAGTACATGGGATAACATCATGTAAGTCATTAAATTGTGTTAATTGAATTAATTAATTGTTAATTAAATTAAATTAAATTAAATTCCTGTAACATCTTACACAGTTAGGCACAGTTAATAAGTAGGACTCTGAGAGCTCAAAGGGCATCATCCTAAACCCCAATAAACCATGTAGTACACCAACCCAGCAAACGATTAATTTTTTTGTATCATGATTTTAAAATACAATTGTTTGTTAGGTTTGAAGACCATACAGGGATAGAGATGATATCAGGTTCTAACTGTACTACTGTGAAGTTTGATGCAATTGCCTCTGTCAACAAATTAGGTGAATATGTATTTATACTGAAACAAAACTACTCATGAAAAATAATGCCTAAAATAACTTCACTATTAATTTTGATGCCTTCATAAAAACTTGAAAAATTGATTGAGAGCGATTGAAATATTGTGACTTTCCTCATTTTTTGTTTTTTTTCTTGTCATGTGTGTCAGACTGTAGTGGAGTATTTGATGATCTGAACTTTTATTGTTAAAATGGCGGGAAATTCGAAAGAAATAAAAAAACAAAAAGTCTATTACTTTTTCTTCCAGCTCTTTCAAAAACAGTTAAATATAGGCATTTTTAAATCATTCATTTTCAGCAACAACACTGAAAGTGTTATCCATCATCTACCGCCTGGTGCAAAGTGACACTTTTTCTACTAAAAGGTAGGCTAATATCAATTCCCCCATTGTTGATTATTGAGATTGAAATCGAAATTAAATCTCATTTTGTTCTTCTTTCCAAAGAAAATAAAGTTCATTGTTTAAAATGTTAGGCCTATACAATACATTCAGCTTTATTTTATGATCAGTATCATTTTTTTCAGAGATATATTTTACCAAAATGTTGGTGCTTTTGGGAGGCAGTCAGTTGTTGATGAAGTAGTTAACAATATATCTTGTATGCTGAAAGTGCCACGCTGGCAACTACATGTGGTAAGTAAACAATTGATCATCTTAGGAGTAGCCAAGATCTAAAGTTGTTAAAAAGTTATAAAAAGAGGCAGATTTGAATTATAGGGAATATGATACAGTGGTACTATCATTATTAGATTATTTCAGTTTTAGAAAACTATCAGAATAGTTGATGTTCTTTTGTAAAGTTTTGGTGAGACCTGCCTCTTACATGCATGGCTACATGTATATGCCCACAATCATGTATGCTAATGGTGTGAAAAAGGCAATTAACTGGATGTATATATTAGTTAACAGTTTATCTTTGAGAATTGAGATATTACATGTGTTACTCCTACTATAGTTCTTTTAAGTCCCTTTTCAACCCCAGTTTTAGTTTCATCCTTTTATTCAATATAACTCTTATATTTCCAGCTTGCGACATCTAAAGGCTGTATTGCTGGAAATCTGAGGTTCACAGAGGAGGATGGCAGCTCCACCAACTGTTCCTTGTCATCTGTTGGAGTGATGGTTCCAATGCATGTTCAGGGCCTGAAAGACATGTACACTGATGCAAGATTTGTCCTGGTTGTAGAGAAGGATGCCACTTTCCAGAAACTTATGGAAGAAGATATTTGTAACAAACTAGGCCCATGTATTGTAATAACGGTACAATATAAATTGTATATTTATTTCACAAAGTAACATATTGTCTAAAACTTTACCATGGCTTTATACTCTAGAAGGCCCATGCCTTTATTCAGCATTCGAAATATATGAAGTTGGGGCATAGTTAGACATGAAGAAAAACTGGCACACCAAAATTTTATGGAAAATTATTTATTCAGATGTTTTTGAAACTGAAACTAATTCTGATTTTTCAAGTGGAGAACATCTGACATTGATTGAATACCATTATATGAAAAATATTTTTATTTTCCAGGGCAAAGGCTTCCCAGATATGAACACCAGACTGATGGTGCGGAAAATCTGGGAAATATTCCATCTACCTTCATTTGCCCTCGTGGATGCTGACCCTCATGGTGAGCCCTAATTCACTCATAATTTACAACACATCTTCAAAATATTACATATTTTCTACACTTTCATCTTTTCTTTTCAAGTATTTACCTTTGTGCTTCCTCACTGGTTTTCAAACCAAAATGAAAGATCAGATTTGTTTAAACTGTTAAATAATTTATCAAAAGTTCCTTTTTTAGGGATGGAAATCATGTGCAATTACAAGTTTGGATCAAAGGTAAGAAAAGCTAAATTATACAATGTTTGAATAATGACAACAGCACATATGACACATCTAGATTTTCCCTAATTATGGGCTTATTTATGGGTTTTAAAGGCCCTGTATAATATTTTTCGCTTGTAAATTATTTTCCATTACTTATTCAAGTATTCTGAACTAGTTATGTTATTTTCCTTTTTTGAAATATTTGTATTTCTAGCCTTATCTCAATCTTTTTATGTCACAACCAAGACCACACAAATGGTGACATATTGTTATAGTCTCAAACATTTGGTTTGTGTTAGGCAGTTGGTGTTAGGAAGCTGGTGTTTGGTGGTTGAAGTCTGTAACAAATGGCAGGTGGAGACATTTTATATATTAATGCCTTGTTTATTATTTATTTTAGTCATTGTCCTTTGAAGCACCAAGTCTGACAGTTCCTACCATGCGTTGGGTTGGAGTTCTACCATCTGATATTCAACAGTGAGTCTAGTCTTCACTTCCAGTAATATTCATGATCCAAGATCAAAACACATCAATCAAGGAATAATTGCATCTGATGAACTATTTAATTTTTGACAAACTGTTGCAGATTATTTTAATCATCCTCAACTTTGATTGCATGACTACATATTAGCACTTAATGGCACTTAATTTAATATTATTAACAATGATCATACAAACTGTCAAATGTCAAGTTTTTATGAACAATTCAGATTATTGGCAGCTTGTCTCCCATTAATATATTTTAAACCTATTCAGGTTTTGGGGGTGCAACACCTTCCCCCACTGGCCAAAAGTTCTTTCAAAATCATGTGGTTTTTCACCATTTTGAGCAAAATTGAACCCCTCTGGAATTTTTCTAAAAACAACCCCCCCCCCCCTGTCAACGAGCCTGCCTACTAATAGGTTGCAAGGAGGAATGAAAGCACTTGGTGCCAGCCTTACTTGCATTGAATTATCCTTGTATTGTATGTTTCAGGTTACATATTCCTGAGGAAAGCTTGATTAGTCTATCAACTCTAGATATAAGAAAGGCACAGGAACTGCTAAGTAGACCATTCTTTTCCTCTCAACTACAGTGGAAGAAAGAGGTAAAAAGAGAACTGGGATTCTTTTTTATTTTTATTTAAAGTTATTAAACACTTTAAGGCCCCATGTTGGAGTATTGTAAAGTAGGGGATTAAGAGCATGTAGTGTATCCATCGCTGAATGTCTTATACATTTTATTCTAAAATTATTGTGAAACTAGGCTAAGGTAAATAACCAAAGGAACAGTCTACATATATTTAAAATATGCTTATGCTGTAATTCTGACATTACTATAACCTGAAATTTTGAATTTCTGTGATCTCTGGTGGTATTGATTATTGAATACAATTTTCATTATGATTTTTTGTTTGCTTTGTTTCAGTTACAGTTGATGCTAGATTCAGGCTACAAAGGAGAAATACAATGTTTAACGTCTCTGTCACCAAATTATTTGACTGAAGTGTACTTACCAAATAAACTCAGATATGGAGAATGGCTATAAGCAGGCCTTTAGTCTGATAAGCAGTCATGAAACTAACTCTGATAAATGACATTAGGCCTACCATTGTGATAGGAGTACATGAGGCATTAAGTGGGTGAGGCAATTGCCTATCCAAGTTCTTACAGAGAAATGTCAATGAATTGTTTTGTAATTAAAACCATGAAAATTAAATAAAACTTGGATACATTTCTGTATTGCCATTGACTCAATTTTTGCCTCGCCTTTTTGCCTCAGCATTTTGAATCACCTTTTTCTATATCTTGACTAATGGCTACATCCCTCATCGTTATCATTATCATAACATAAACAAACATTAAAATAGGCCTAACCCTTGTAATGTGGGTTCGCAATGATTATTGGCACAATGAATCATGACATATAATAATCTTACTAAAAGAATATATACTAGGCTAATATTATGTTTTACATGAACTTTTTCAAAGTTAAACTTAAATAAAAAAATTCTTTACTTTAGAAATGTAATAATGTTAGTTGTGAGCCTTCACTGCTTTACACATGTATATACAAACATATGGAACTGAAAATATTCAATAAGCCATACTATCAAAATAAAGAATCAATTTATAAAATCAGCAATGTCATTAATTAACTAGGTAAAGGTAATGTAGAAGATGGACTGTTTATATTACAGAAAAACTTTTACTATATATCACCAGTTGTGAATTAGAGAAATGTAAAATCCTGGAAAATTCTATTAATTTGACTAAATCAGGTTTTGTACTAGGATAAAGAATGTTTTGCATCAATAGGGAATGGGATTTTGACACTCAGGACATTTTCGTATAATTATCTGTTATGACATTATTTTTGTTTCATACTCTCAATACTGTGATAAGGCCATATGGTCAAGCATAATGACGCTTCTACCATTGGTTGGCAGAAAGTACGACTGAAGTAACAATTACCCGGGAAAACATGTTTGTCTTTTCGTCCAGGATTTTATAGGTGGCGCTAATAAAAGAATTGCAAAATTTTCTGAAACATTTTTTCTACGCTAAAATTGGTTTTCTTACCCTACCTGAGTACAGTAGACAAAATGAAGTGTCATTATGAAGTTCTGGGTGTACAAAGGAACGCTACAGACGATGACCTAAAGAAATCGTACAGAAAGTTAGCCTTAAAATGGCATCCAGGTTTGTGATTTTTATTGGTGGGCGATAATAAGGTAAAATGTGTTTTTATCACTGAATTTCATTCACTTCAGCAGATTATTATCATCACTGGAACTCGCTAAATTACACTTAAATTCATTATCTCAAATATAATTTAGCTATGTATCTAAGATGTGGATGTATTTTCCTAAATGTAGGAGTCCTTGTAATGTACAGATGCAAAGATGACCTGTAGCCGTAGGGTCTTTATTTATAAATCTGATATAGAAGGTGATGTACGTCAAAACTCCAATAGTCCAACTCATCAGAGTGGAGCATCCCCATCTAAGGTCCTCACCTCTTCTGTCGAAGTTCGCCTCATGGTTTACTTTCATATAGTTACTTTATCATGTGGCTGCTTTAACAATGACTTATACTCTTTGTTACAGTGTTAAAAAGGCAAGAACTTAACTTCGACATACTGTATAAGTGTTACCCTCACGTGCCTTCTAAATGGTAGTAAACGAACTTCAATGTAACTACATCAGCTTATCTTTCCGTCCGATCAACAATAAGTACAGTTATACAAGAAATGTAAACGAACTGAAAAAATTTCCAAAAATGTTCTGACTGGCTTGTCATTTCCGAAAGTTCTGATACATAAGGGTTATGTACTGGGAGGTTTTGGATATGGGGTTTATCCAGCGGGTCCTTCGGTCCCTACGGTCCCTCAGGTAGATATGCATATCTCACGAGGGATGAACCCAATATCCAAACCGATGGTACATAACTGCTTTATCCTATACCAAGTAGAGTTTTCAGGGGCATATGGCCATTTCAATAGTACACGGTGTAAAAATAAACAAATCATTCATATGCAAAGTCATTTTATTGCATTACCGGAAGCGGGAAGATATGCACCGGAAGCGGGAAGATATGCACCGGAAGCGGGAAGATATGCACCGAAGCGGGAGATATGGCGGGAGATATGGAGGTTCTGGATATGGAAACCTCAAAATCAGGATACGGGATATATTTTACCATCTTATCTCCCTAAAACTCTACTTGGCATAGGATAAATTATATTACCCAACATATGTGAAAATGGAATGTTTGTTCATTCATTTTACGAGAGCTAAATAAAATGCGATTTGTTTACATTTCTTGTATAACTGTACTTATTGTTGATAAGATAAGATAAGCTGATGTAGTTACATTGGAGTTCGTTTACTACCATTTGGAAGGCACGTGAGGGTCCATTCATCAGGTAACACTCATGTGTCAAAGTTAAGTTCTTGTCTTTTTTAACACGCAACAAGGAGTAATTTCAGGTCTAATCTAAGCTGGCAATCTGGAAATTTGAATTTTTGATGGTCGAAATAAGTCCATGTAGCCTCAGGATGAAGTGACCCAAATAGACTACATCTAAGTTCGATGGAGGCCACATACAGTTCGATTTAAATTTTCACTTCCTCAAGAAGGCATATTATTTGCTCAGATGATGTTAATTGAATGAAGAAATACCATTTGTCCATTTCTACATGTTTCAGATAAGAATCTAGCAAATCTTCAAGAGGCTACCGAGGTGTTCCGTGTCATACAGCAAGCCTATGATGTACTCAGTGACCCCCAAGAAAGAGCCTGGTATGACAAACACAGAGAAGCTATTCTTAATGGAGGTAAGTTGCAGAAATATACCATGGCATTCATTGATTATGGTTGTGAAAAGCCTGTAATAATCCTGACTTTATTTTTCAAAACCTGCAGAATGTCTCACCTTGGCTTCACAAAAGATCTGGTATAAGTCTATATTGTACTCCAGGTATTGTTCGCGTGCGATTTGATTTTGCCTTGTTCGCGAATGTAGTAAAATCGCGAACATTTATCGTCGCGAACATTTGTGTTTTAAATCCCGGGGGATATGACCCGGGACATTTGATAATTTTCGTTCGGTGTAAAACATTCGTCCAGTGTTGTTGGGCGATAATTCAAAAAAAGGCCTAAAATGTCTAACATTTTGAATTGGCTTATTAGGCCAACAAAGGCAAGAACTGTTGACGACAATGATATCCTACAAATTTAAGTTGAAAAAGCTATTCAAAAATATTCAAATAAATGCCCTAAACGTGGGAAATACAAACATGATTCGGATTCTGAACGGACTAAAATTACCGGATGAAATGTCATCAACTCAATTGCAATTTTGAAAAATCGCTAAATTTTATAGCTTCGAAATTTATCCGGAGTACAGTATCTACTTAGATTCAATAACAAAAAGAATATATGATAGCAAAAAATTTTTTTAGAAACATTCTCATCTTTTATCAAATTCTCTCTTTATCGAATCTACTCGAACAATATATTAGAAATCATATCTATCAAAATTTGCATTACCCCTTCTTAAAATTAATACACCGGTATTACAGTATGGAAGTAAACTCAACTTTACAGACTTATTTTTTTTAAATTAATTAAAACTGTGATGGTTGATCTAGTCACATTTGGTCTATTTCTTAATAAGAGTAAGTTTGAACTATTTCTCATATGAATTCCATATTTAACTTTCTAGGTATGGGACATGGTGAGGATTATCAAGATAAGAAGGTGGATGTCTATCAATACTTCAACACAGCTTGCTACCAAGGATATGGGGATGATGACAGTGGCTTCTATGCTGTCTATCGTGAAGTGTTTGCACAGATTGCTGAAGAAGATTATGCCTTTATGGGAGATGACAGAAACAGTATATCAGAACTGCCTGGCTTTGGGGACAATCTCAGCTCTTATGAAGAGGTATCATCTGTTTAATTAATATTCATATACTTTTTTGCCTAATGGATCATATTTTCTCACTTTTTGCTAACAGTAGGTTGATAACCTATTTTTACTCCATTTGTAAATGTTATATTTAGTCAAAGTTGAATATAATATTAGACAGACAGTTCACAAAATGTTCTCTAGAAAACAAAAATGTGGGTTTATATGTGAAATCTGTTTAGTCCTCTGAGGACTAAAAACTAGGGTTTAAGACATGAGGACCTCTTATCTAAATCCTAGTTTTTACTTATTATTCATTTTCTCTAATATCATATCATTAATATGTTTCAGGTGGTTGGACCATTCTATGGTTATTGGGAATCCTATTGTACGGCAAAGTCCTATGTTTGGAAGGAGAAATACGACACCAGAGAGGCACCAGATAGATGGAGTCGTAGAGCTTCTGAGGCGGAGAATAAAAAACTTAGAGATGCAGCCAAGAAGGAGAGAAATGAAGAAGTTCGAGTAAGTGTTGCAAATATACAGATGAGAGGTGAAGAATGATTAAAGATAGAATCATGATGAAAATTTGATTTAGAAATTATCAGTTGTAAAATACATTCAGGAATAGAAAATGCAAGTTATGCTCTACAGTATGAATAAAGGGAGGTACAACCCATTTCTTGATAAAGTATTTCAAGAAAAAATTCATTTACTCATTATAAATCACTTAAAAACACATTTGTTATCCCTTTGTGAAAAGTTCTGATGTTCAAGCCAGGTACATAACATGTATGTTTTAGTTGTACACTGAAATATTGATGTACATTGTACATTATTCCTTTTGGTCTTACCATTTTAGGCACTTGTTGCATTTGTGAGGAAGAGAGACAAAAGAGTTCAAGCGCATAGGGTATGTTGGTCAACCTTTTTTACACTAATATATTAATCAAAATCTCAAGAATAGACTAATTTTAGGTGGTGCATTGCCTACGCCCTACATGGGCCAATTTTCTCTCCTGTGTACACTAAATTGTACTACTGTACTCCGGGTAATGTTCGCGTGCGATTTAATTTCGCTTTGTTCGCGAATGTAATAAAATTGCGAACATTTATCGTCGCAAAATTTGTCTTAAATCCCCGGGCTTTGACCCGGGCCTTTTGATATGTTTTTTTCAGTGTGAAACGTTTCTTCCAGTGTTGTTGGGCGAAGGCCTAAAAACATTTTGAATTGGCTTATTAGGCCAACAAAGGTAAGAACTGTTGACGACAATGATATCTTACTAATTGAAGTTGAAAAAGCCATTCAAGAATATTCAAATAAATGCTCTAAACGTGGGAAATACAAACATTATTTGGATTCTGAATGGGCTAAAATAGCCCGCATTGATTCACGGTAATCGGAAAAAAATTCAACTTGTGCAATCTGCGAAATGTCATGAACTTCAATCCGCGAAATTAAACAGCCGCGAAATTGCAATTTTGAAAAATCGCGAAATTTTATAGCGTTGAAATTTACCCGGAGTACAGTATTATATTGTAACTCGTTTCTACATGTATTCTGACATACTAGAGAATAAAGCACTTGATGATCAAGTGGAAATGAGAGATGCCATATTTGTCAATATCTTGATGTTCTGGTATATAATACTTATTTACTTAAAGCACTGTTAAACCCTAAATAGGGCATTTCACACCACCTTTAATAAAACATTATTATGTATTCCTTTTTTGTCTTCTCCCTGCAGAAAAGGTTAGAGGCCAGAGCAGAAGAGGTTAAGAAATTGGCAGAAGAGAAAAGGCAGAGAGACAAGAGAGAAAGACTTGAGTGAGTCCTTACTGTGAATTATTAAAAGTCCTCTGGGGATTTCAGTTTAACAGTGCACCAATAAATTGGGTGCTATTTTCAGGAGAGTAAATAAGAACTTGTAAAGTCTTCATAAAACATTATTTGTATACTAATACAAATCATCAAATTACCTAAACATGAGTATGCTGGGAGTACCATTTAAAAAATGTATGATGGAATTTGCTATGACTTGCTGTTATCTATTTTATAAATATTGATAAAATCACAACTTAGTAAGACATTCAGTAAATACTATATTATTCTGCAGGAATATGAAATCATTTAAGCAAGCAGATTGGAGCGCAACATCCGAAAATGACCTTGAGAAGTTAGAGGCTCAGTTAGTTGACACTCATGGGGATGAAACGCCAGAATATGGTATGTTGTGACGTGTGATTATGTTTATATTTTTGTTGTCGTTACCAAAATGTGACATCCTGTTTTTTGTGCGATGTCATATTATCAATATTAGATGTCACATTAATGTGTTATGCATATGTAATATTCTGTTAGTGTTTCTGTTATATTGGTTTATTTGAGTCACATGGCAATCACATTATTTCTATTAAATATTTGTATATTTCATATTATATTCTACATGGTTTGCACTATGAATTACTATACAAGTACTTTTTTGAATCATTATACAAATAAATCACAAATCTTAAAAATATTGTAAATTGTGTCTTCTGTTTTTGATTTCATCATTACATTTGAAGTCACATGACATTTCAGATAGTGAGGAAGAAGAAGAGGAAGAAGTGCTTGATGACCTGTTCTGTGTGGCATGTAATAAAGCATTCAAATCAGACAAAGCGTAAGTGTATTGCAATATTCCAGATTCTCTCGGAATATTGTTGTTTTTCTCAACACATTATAGTATCTCTAAGAAAATTGTAGTTTTCTCAGCACATTGTATGCTTCTACATTTGATATTAAATGAACGATTGAGTACTTATCAATGCATTGAAAATATTAGGCTGTTAAAAAGTAAGTCTTTATTTTACCAAAGAACACTAAAAAGTTCAAGAGGAAAGACAAGTTGATTCCTTCAGCGAGTGATGCCAAAGTTCAAACCATCACTGCCCCACTCAAATTATGCATTCAGGTTAAGGGGTGAAATGTGTATGATCTGAGATGCCTGCTGATGACGCAATGAAGGAAGGTGTCTGTAACAAATGGCATGTAGTGAGATTTGCACGTTAATAACTTGTTTGCTTCTATATTGTTTACCCTGTCTTGTTACTCCAGGTTTGCAAACCATGAGCGATCTAAGAAACATAAAGAAAACATAGCATTCCTTAAAGCTCATATGGCAGAGGAGGAAAATCAGCTAGGTGCTAATGAAGATGATGATATAGATGATGCACTAGGTGATGATCTGGATGCAACAGACAATGTCGACTTTGCTATAGGCTCCAGTGAAGATGAGACAACAGTTCAACAGACACCATCTAAATCGAAGTAAGTACATTCTGAATTCTTTGATTCATAGTATAGTATTTAAACTCCATGCATTCTGTATTATCTGTGTATTTTTATTTATAAATATCAGTCATTGATATCAATAATAACATAATTGCACATTTTGAATTTGTGATTTGCAAGATACATGAGTGAGGCCATTCAACTATAAACAATTATTTTTCTTGATTGGTGTTTATTTGTTTTATTTTATGTTTCAGAAAGTCTAAGAAACAAAAGAAGAAGCAAAAGCAAATGGCAAAGTTTGCACAACAGGTAAACTGAAGTTTGGGATTTTTGACAAGTAGCTCCTTCAAAACACCAATAAAGCAGTTGGAAGGAATGTCAAGATGTCGTTAGAGATATTAATCATTTCTGTCTCACTGCAACACATGCCCTCTGGGTGTTTTAAACACTAATAGGGATTTGTTGGATTTGATCTTAGCCCCACTGGGACTGGCAAAAAATGTTCACATTTTGAGGTTTTTATGACAGTGTGTATGGCAGATAAAAAAATGGGAATGAAAAAAAGTATTCACATTGAGAGGTGTTCAGATAAGAGAGGTTTAGGAATATACAGGCTTACTGCACATTATATAGAAATTCTGAGATAAATTAATTGAACTTATAATCAAATTAGTAAAAAAAGCCATAACTCTGTAAAGTGTTTTTTCAATCAAAAGAAACATTTTTTTGTATTTGAAACAAGGAGGTGAAATTGTGTTGTGGTAAGATAAAGCAACCGCATGAGTTGAAATAGTTAAGTTATTGATGAAGATATTGTATTGTAGAAGGAGGAGTCTGATGAAGAAGTAGTGAACGGTATTGAATCTGTTAGTCTAGAAGAGAGCCATTCTGAAGTGAAACCAACCACCAAAGATAGCAATGATGCAGATAATGATAGAGTCACTCCTGATGTTACACAAGCTGTTATTAATGGAGATCTTAATGAAAATCTAGAGGTATGTGCGTGTGCCTGTATTTTACACAGTCTTAAAGTATTACATACAACTTGTACATGTATATCACTTGGTACAGCATTGACTAATAGTTTGTTTTATGGATTAAACATATTAATATGTCTCAGATCATTAGAATAAAAAGATGCATTTTTCAACTAACATTTGTCAGAGAATTGTCGGCAGAAGTGGTGACATATTGTTATAGTCTCCAACTTTTTTGTTGATGGTGTACTGCAGTCATCGTTCGGCATCTGTAACAAATGGCAAGTGGTGACATTTTGTATGTCTTGTATAAGATAATCTGATTTAATGCGTTATGCTTTGAATAATATCAAACTCAACAATTGTAGGAAAGTAAAGGAACTGAAGTGGAATCTCCAGAAATAAACACTGAAGCATCTGAAACAACAGATACTACTCAAAAGAATACAAAAGATGAAGATATAGCATCAAAAGAAGATAACACAAATGATAAAACTGATATACCAAAAAGTAAAAATAAAAAGCAGTCACAAAATCAGGTGAGTTGCTTCAGGTTGTTGTATAATTCCTGACTCTTATGTTTGTTTAATTGTTATTATCTGTTATGTTAAATCATGTCACATCCTTCACAAACATGTGCTGATAATCAGAATGGTCTCCACTCTACTATACCTTACCCCTAGAAATGCATAAGACACTCTGTTTGTCTAATTGCATTGTTTAGTATATTTTTGAAAGTACCTTATCAACATCTGACTTTCAACCGATAAACCAGTAACAGACAAATAAAAACAAATAACATAATTATTACTAATACTTAGCCAAATGGGTTTTTAATCTGTAATGCAAAATTCAAATGTTAAAATTGTAAATACAATATCACGTACAAGTATTTATCCAAGTTTCTTCGATTGTATGTTTCTACTATCTACTGATATTGTTTATGTATATCTGTTACAATGTAAAACTATATTTCAAATTATTTGTTATCACACCATCACATTCTTGCAAAAATACCATTCACTCATTCATTTACAAACATGATACAAAGAATGAGCTATTATAATACAACTTGCGGTTTACTACTGCAGTATACAAACAGGTCACGACTTGCAGTGAAATTGATCAGTGTTTCCAATCTATTTTGCAGGAGATGAAGGGAGTACCTGCAAACTGTAACACATGTAAACGTACATTTCCCTCTAAAAGTAAACTATTCCAACACCTCAAGCAAACTGGGCATGCTTTAAGACTTGACAATGAACCAGCACCAGTTGCTGAGGCTCCTAAGACTAAAAAAGGAAAAAAGAAAGGAAAGAAAGGAAAATATACCAATGATGATGATTTCTAGTGAATAGTTAACTTACAAGTGGATGTGAATGAGATGAGGGAAATACGTGAAAATGGTGTATTAGTAAAGTACTACTAATGTTTACAATTTCCAGTGGAGAACCTTTCATGATGTCGTACCAGCTACATGTAGGAAAAATACATGTATAAAGAAGACTTTAATTGAGAATTATGTACTGTTCATATATTATTGAGAAAAACATGCCTTTACGGCATATGCATCACCTATAATTTTACCAAAACCTCATCTCCAACTGAGTTTGGAATTTTAACTATGATGATGTAAAATTCAATGGTCATGTTGAGTTATGAATCATACTACATATCTTGCCACCTTTTTTGGCCAATTTGAACTTTTCAATTTTGTTAACAACATGGCTAATACTGGAATCTGAAGTAAGATAGAGGGTAGGCCTATGGTTAAATCAGAAAGTTCTATAAAACATTCACATAATGAGGTGATATTTTTAGTTGGATTAGGGTTTAATAGATGCATGAGGATGTTATTTGATATCTGAATGAAAATGTTATGAATGCTGACCAAAGGTTGGTGCAGTTGAAAAAGCAATAAATTATTGTTTATATACAGTTTATATTTATCATGTTATTTATATTCCACTCAAATCAATATGAGATCAACTCCAGGAGAGTGACATGCTATAGATTATTGGTAAGGATAGGGGCAAACCATTTGATCAAATGGGAACCTACAGTAATTAATATTATTTCTTTGAAGGAATATTAATGCAGCAACTATCATATAAGTCATGTAAGTTGGACCTTACTCTTCAATCAAAGTCTAATGTCAGAATGTCCTGCCCATATGTGTGAATCAGATGTGGTGAACAAAACATCTACTTTGAGAACTGAGACAATTGGCAATGACAACCTCCTCAGATCGCCCCAAAAGAACACCAAAGAGCCTTAATGCCACCACATTATCTAGTAGTATGTCATGTTTTTATCAATTCTTAGTTGTTACATTGAATCAGCAATTCAAATCTGATAAATACATGTATGATCCCTACCATTTATGATTCAAATATATCAGCATAGACCACAACTATGCAGAGTTCAATATGTAAAGAATCTAGAATAAATTTAACCTTGATTATTGGAGGCACCCAATCAATAAAGATAAAAAATGCTGAGATGATACATTGTGGAATAGGACCTCACAAGCCTGGATTATAAAACAAATAGGGAAGTATTGAGATGCCTTCAGACATTTGTACAGAGATCAAAGATATTTTAATGGGGTAAGATATTTTGCAGGGCCTTAATAAGTGAGCCTTTTTGGGCATAACTTGGCTTTTTTGAGTCATATTTTAATTTAGGTAATCAGGGCACAAATGTGCAAAAATTTCTGACCTAAAACGTGCCTCCCATCCCCCTTGTTAGCTTCTAGATCCATCAGTGCATTTTTAAAGAGATTTTTGGGCATTTCTTCACACTAAAAAATATGGTAATCGGACAACTCATCCCCTAGAAGACTCATCCCTGCAACTCATCCCCTGGACAACTCATCCCCTGGACAACTCATCCCCTGGACAACTCATCCCCTAGACAACTCATCCCCTGGACAACTCATCCCCTAGACAACTCATCCTCTAGGCAACTCATCCCCTGGACAACTCATCCCCAAGACAACTCATCCCCTGGACAACTCATCCTTTGGCATGTTTGAGTAATTTAATGTTATATTATCAATTCATGTATTATTCAAATGATTTTTAAATGTTTTGGTTATCAATATGATCAGTTCTTAGTTTCAAAAACACGTATTACATGAACACTGGTAGCGGTACTGCACTCAATTATGTTACTGACAAATGTTTGTGATAAAAATGTAGTGGGAATTCTGCCTACAATTTTGAAAACCAAAGGCATGTTACAGAATGATCGGTCCATCAACTCGCTATAGCGAAATATAATCTAGTGTAATCTAAATGTTCTAAAAGAGAAACTACACATTTGGATTTTTGAAAACTTTTGATGTCAAGAATATATCGAAAGCAGAGCGTAAGTAACGATTAATATTGAGGTAAAACTAAGTTTATGCATTTTTTCCGATGATACTCAAACTACAGAAACACCATAACCAAATACTTTATATTATTTGCATCTTTAGAAGTCGATTTCATTTTCCAATTTTGGACAGTCACTGATTCGAATTTCACACGCTCATTTCATATTTATGCTTCGTAATTAACCAATTAGATCTATCAAGACAAAAACACTTGTAATGGCTTGATGGACTTTCACTTGTGATTGGCCAAGCTACATACACAGTACCCCCATAATGTGTGCTCGGTTTCTTCTTCTTGATCCTTTTAGTGTCCGTGTGACACTATTGGCACTATAATGCTGCCTTTGGGTACTTTTCACTTATACTTTACTAAGTTGGAGAGAGAGCGCTAAGAACAAATTATTTCACCTGGTAGTTAAATCCAGTATTAGGTTGTAGAAGAGTCACTATCTCATGAGTTTAGAGTCCATTTCACTGCTTCATTTCGTCAGTAGAACGGCAAAAATAAGAAATTGGGAGACCATTGTGCAATAATATATGGAAAAGTATATTCATAATGTACATGAATGACATTTGTATATCTTGGATTGCTTCTACCCTGCGTGCAGAGTCTAGTTAAACTACACTCTGCCTAGTAGAGACCATGTTACAGTTTAGTAGCCCCGCCCCCACGACGGGTACCGGTGACAGTTTGGGTAATAAATCACTTCTGACCTAAGCGCTGACTTTCTACCACCAATCAGCGAGCTTGAAGAAACATAAGCCAAATGCGTTCTAATTAAATATGCGCGTGTCATTGGTCAATTCCGGGCTCAACGATGACGTCAGAAGGAATGACCATATATAGAACGTCGGTCAAATTTGGCCGACGAACACTGATTGGCGCGGTGAGTTCACAGGTTTATTTTAGTTTGAAAGAGTGAAGACGAAGCTCTCTTTTAAGAAGTGAAGTCAAACGAATGCAAAGGGTAGATTGCTTCTAGTTTGGCTTATAAATTGTGTGGCCTCTTATATTTGGATGTTTCTCTGCCATGTTATTTTCAATAAGATTAACATGGCTGAAATTCTTCAAATTACAAGACGGCACAGGCTTATTGCACAAAAAACTAAAAAATCTGAAATATACAAATGTCATTCATGTACATTATGAATATACTTTTCCATATATTATTACACAATGGTCTCCCAATTTCTTATTTTTGCCGTTCTACTGACGAAATGAAGCAGTGAAATGGACTCTAGTATAAAGTCACTGTCTCTTTCTTATTTTGTTTGCTTAAAATCTTTTGGTATTTTGCAGATAGCGATGCAGCGCTGGGTTTGTGTAAAAAAAACGGGTAGCTAGCCGGGTGACCGGGTACCTAACGTTCCTTGCAGAATTTGCCCACGCATATATTGAAACATTTACTGCCGTTTATCATTTAATATAATATGACGTTAGTCATGTTAGTTGCCACATACTTTATTGCCTACAAGTGAGTGATTGACAAGATGTTGATGATTGTTTCCTATGATGGCGATTTCTACTAGATATTAAACAAATCTGGAAGATATACGCACGTATCTTGAAATTTTAATAATTGAATGTTTTTATCTGTCAATTGACGTACGATGTATGACTTATGATGTTGGTTGCTTGTTTTATTGCCTGAGTGATTGACAGGGTATTGTTGATGATTTGTTTGCTGGTCGGTTGGCTTATTGGTAGATTAAGTTGTTGCTTGGTTATTTAGTCGTTTGCTTGATTGGTTGGATGGCTTGTCCATTGAGTTAAAGGAGGACAAGGATGGTTGGTTGCTTGGATTTTTCAGTGGCACGTTTTAGGCCATTCAATGAAAAAAATCAAATTCCCAACCCTGCTGGGATTGTTAGGTACATGGTCACCCGGCTACCCAGTTACCTGGTCACCCGTTTTTTTACAGCTTCTGTAATTGTTCTCACTTTACTAGAGTTCTTAAATCTGGACTGCCATTTGTGGGTGCAGCCATTTTTAATCTTATCATAAGCTGTAGCCTTTGTGATGTTGATCTCCGTGAGCTGTTTGGCATTTTCAGCTGCCTGCTTGGCCATCTTATCTGCAAGTTCGTTGCCTTCTGTGCCCTGGTGTCCAGGTACCCAGTAGACTTTGATGGTCTTATGTTTATGTATAAGGGTTTTACAGGCTTTGCGAATTTCGAGTTTATCAGTTGTAATTCCTTTTAAGTTAGTGGTTAAGAAGGCTGATATTATTGTCGGTTGACTATCTGATAGTAGTGTAATATCGGGGCTTGTGGTGGATGAATGCATGAATTTCGCCAATATAGTTGTTGCCAATTTTAGAGGTTGGTGATTTGATGCATATTGGGGAGGAAGACAGACCTTGTTGGTAGATGATTGCTGCTGCCCCTGTTGGCCCTGGGTTCCCCAGTGATGAACCATCTGTGAATACTATAGTGTCTTTATCTGGTTTTGAGGAAAGTATGGTGGCTATAATATTGTCACTCTGTGTTTGTTAAGAGTTCTTGAAGTCCTCAACATGGACTTCGACAGGTGGTAGATTAAAAGTTTCCATGTTTTCATTGTGGTAGATGTGTTTATAATAACTCTCCTGAGAGGTTGGGCAGTTATACAGTCGTAATCTTGCTGCTAGGATGTTAAAGCAGGAGGGTTTACGTTCTAGCGTGGATGACTGGGCCCATTGTTCATATTTGTCAGTAATTGGGTCTGATCTGTGATGGGTAAGAATTCTTACAGCTTCTTGAGCTTGGCGTGCCCTTAGGATTATGTCAAGGGGGGGGAACTCCAGCTAAAATTTCTAAAGTATCAGTGCTGGTAGATGGTATGCAGCCAATGGCTTTCCTTTCAGTAGTGCTGATCTGTGTATAGGGGAGAATGCTGTTATGGCTTTATCTGTTACTGATGCGACAGCGCTGATGCCAGATTCAAAGTGAGGCATTACTAGTGCTCTATAGAGCATTGTAAAGACTTCTTGGCTGCATCCTCCCTTGCTAGATGTGAAGTTTGAGATACTTCTAAGTGCCTTGTAGGCCGCTTTTGTTTTCAAGTCTATATGTTGGTTAAAGGTTAATTCAGTGTCGATAGTGCATCCAAGTATTTCCTTATGTGTCACTATGTCCAACTTTTTTCTGCCGATGTGGATGTTAACTACCGGGGAGGGTCTGTTTGGTGAGGTGAAAATTAGAACTTCAGTTTTTTCAGGGGCAATTTCCATGTTCCATTTTCCACACCAAGAAACAGCTATTTGGTTAAGGTCTTCGTTGATTTGTGATGATAACTAATCAATGTCTTTACCATGTGCCCATGATATTATCATCTGCGAATCCTGCTGTAGCGGATTTCACAAAGGTCATAGAGTCTTCAGTGTAGAGGTTACAGAGGGATGGACTGAGAATTGACCCCTGAGGAATACCCACCTTTGATGTCATTAGTGGTGTGGTAAAGTCATTGGTTGTGATTGAGAATTGTCGGTTGTTAAGGTATTCATGTAAATACACAAGCATCCTGCCTTTGATGCCTTTGTTAAACAGTTTGTATATGAGTCCCTCTCGCCAAATTCGTTCAAAACAACTTTCATAATCCAGGACTACGGCAATCATGGTTTCTCCTCTTCCCCAGGCTTGTTGGATGGATTGTATTAGTCAGAGCACTGTTTGGGAGCAGGAGTGATGTTCTCTGAAGGCGTCCTGGAAAATGGAATATGAATTGGTTATTTCATTTTTCTAAGAGAGACGGGGGTTTATGATCCTTTGGAGTATTTTCCCTATGAGGGTTTCAAGTGTGATAGGGCGGTAGGCTCGGTCTGAGTTGTAGTTGGGTTTGTTTGGTTTATTGAGCATAATCTTGGGGTCTATTTTATACTCTGATGGTAGCCTCCCCTGTTCCCAGCATTTTTGGGATAAGAACCAAAGAGCTTTGTGAAGTGTACTCCCGCCTTTTTTAATGAAAATACTCAAAATCTTTTCCCTTGGGCTGGGGGTCGTTTTAGTAGAATCTGTTGAATGGCCGAGATTACCTCAGTGAGGTCAATGTCTTTATTTTCCGGAGCACATGAGTTGTTATAATCCGGAGATGCAATGATATCCATTTCTTTATTTATGATTTCAGTAGCTTTGTTGGTTACAAATGCAAACCATGTGCTAAACTGTTGGACCAGTTGTTGTTGTTTTCCATACTGAGCTACCATTGCTTGAGCTATGTCCCTAGTATGTAGAATAGATGGTATTGCCATCTTTAGATATTATAGGCTGGACTATTTTTTTGTTTCTTTTGTTTTGAGATTTGTTTATAGTTTGCCAAATGTTATCTGGTCTGTGTGTATCATGCTCCTTGAACAGCTCATCCCAATACTCAGATTCGGCTTGTTGGGCCTTCTGGGAGAACTGTTCAGCAAGCTCGGTATAGGTCGACCAGTTGTAAGGATCGCTCCTTTGATTATACTTTCTTTTAGCCTATTTCACCATATTCTCTGGGTGAAAAATCCCTGTCTCAGTATTGTCTTATTTTTTTTCTTTGAAACTCTCATATTATTGCCACAAGTTCTGCCAATGTTCTGGGAGAGGGGAAGGATATTGGTTATTGGTATGTCATACTTTTCATTCAAGATTTTCCATGTTTTGATCATATCGCCTCTAAGACGTCTAAATACAAGTTTTGGTAATTTTAACTCTTTCAGTCTTTGGGGATATCCTTATGTTTCAGGCTTGGTATACATCTTGTGGCTCTTCTTTGTACAGCTTTAACTGCTTCGGTGTCTTGGACTAGATATGGAGACCAAACTGTATTTCCGTATTTCAGATGGGGTTGTACCATTGCTTTGTAACGTAGCAACATATTGGAGGAATCTAAAAATTGGAAGGTCCTTGAACCTTATAATCCCAGTATTTGATTAGCCTTTTTGACTAACGTCTGTACTTGTGTGCTATTTTTCAAATTATGGTAACCATTACTCCCAGGTCCTTCTCACCTTCTGTTTCTTGAAGAACCCTGTTGCCCATGCTATAGTTATATACTGGGAGATCTTCCTATTCTTGATATTTTACATTTTTCACTATTATACTGTAGTTGCCATTCTTGAGTCCAGTTCAAGGGAAATTATATCTTGTTGTAGTTCGTTACAGTCCTCTGAGTTATTCACTTCTCTATAGAGTTTCGTATTATCAGCAAACATAATCAGAGGGCTGTTTACTGCCTGTCATTTACGAATATCAGGAACATGACAGGTCCGAGGACTGTCCCCCGGGGTATGCCTGATGTTACATCGGTCCATGATGACGATTCTTCGTTAATGATTACTCTCTGCTTCCTACATTGGTCTTGATTACTGTTGCAGTTTTCTGCTAAATCACTGTTCTCTGGGACGTCATATTTGTTTCCGGGTTCCGCACCAAGGAAAGCTTTCAGCCACTAGAGGGCTGTACCCACAATTCCTAGGTTTTGTATTTTTTTTAATCAGTCGTTCATGCGAAACTTTGTCAAAGGCTTTTTTGAAGTCAAGATAGACAGCGTCAATGTTGCTTCCACTGTCTAGTACTTCAGTCCACTTTTCTAGTGTCACAAGTAGGTTTGTTACGCAGGATCGACAAGGTAGGAATCCATGTTGACACTGCGACAGGAGGTTGTTCTGTGAAAGATGAGATAGTATTCTTTCTCTTATTATAGATTCCAGAATCTTACACACTACAGATGTGAGACTTACAGGCCTGTAGTTATTAGGTTGACATTTCTTGCCTTTCTTGTGAATTGGTGAAATGTTGGCTTGTTTCCAATCTTGGGGTAATGTAGCAGTATCTATAGATTTTCTAAATATCAGGTATAGGGGTCTGCATATTACTTCTTTCAATTCCTTAAGTATACGGGGCTTGATATTAGAGAGATTTCGCACGGCGTGAATTTACAACTTATAACGTATACTTATACTTATAAGCAAACTTACAAGGTGTTTCATAATGTGGGCTTTTCGTCAGGAAAGATCTTCTCGGACTGTAATAAATAAAGGTCAAAGGGATGCCTTTGTTCTTTCATGAATTGTAGCATGTTTAGTTGATCCAAATGTGCTTGTCTAGAATAAAATAGGCTCATATATAGTACGTATGTTGTACGTATATCTCTTCTCAAATTGCCTTTTTTAGATGCTCGTTATGAAACACCCTGTATGTCATTTGTTGAGCTACTGAATGGGTCGTTTCCAGAAATTGCTAGAACCTTCTGGTTTGATTGGTGTTTCAAATTGATGGTTAACGTATTTGATTGGATACTATTGCTACTCAGCAAATTATTTTTAAAAAATGCTTACGGTCAATTGTTCCACACACATGCAGGTAAAGCTTTATACGGAGATCCAACTCTATACGTTTATCATCTCGTATATATACGGTTTTGTAAGTTCATTGAACTTATACTGATCATGAAAACTTTGAAATAATCAACTTGTTTATGTAATGACTCGCTTTAAAGGATCATGACTCACTTTAAAGGATCGTGTTTATAATACACTACAACTACTAGGACACGGAAGCAAGCATTTAACTATAATGTGCATAATCTACACGTGCAGATGACAGTGCATTCACAGTCTCTAGTTGATGGAGCTTTTCTATATCGTGAATAGTTATGTTCCATTAAGTACAATTTGAAATTGATTTTAGTAAATATAATAGTTCGACATGACCCTTTAAAGTATACGTATACGTATAAGTTGTACTTTCACGTATGTGCGAAATCTCTCTAATATCTGGTCCAGGTGATTTGCTTACTTTCAGTAATTCCAGTTTCTTCATTACATCCTCCTCCGTGAATCTCCAGTCCTGTATGTAGTTATTCAGTCTGATATAGTGCCCAGCTGGTATGTTCTCTTTATTCTCATGGGTGAAAACACTAGAGAAAATTTGTTAAGCTCTTCCGCTTTGTCAAGGTCGTTCTCTGTTCTGGATCCATACTCTCTAACAAGTTGAGGGATTCCACTCTGTGTTTTCCTTTTGCTATTACTGTAGCCTCAGAACTTTCTTGACTGAGATTTTGCCTGGCTTGGCTATATTACATTCGAATTCTTTAACTGCTCTAGAGACTCCTCTTTTGGCTTGATTTCTTGTCCCTGCGTTTAACGTTCACTTCTACAAGTCCAATTATATCTGGTTCCATCTTGTGGGTCATCAATTCAAGTTCATCTTTCTTATTAGGGAGGCTATCCATATTTGTATATATTACTTTCATTTTATGTAAACTATTTACACTTTTGTTCTGTTTAGCTGTTACTCGTCTTGGCTCTCGTCCCTTTCTGGATTGGTGATCAAAAGAGGGGGTTGCTTTGGCAATTCTTTATCTTTGGGTGTTGGCGCAGGCTCAATGTTATCGCCTCAGGGTGCTTCGCGTTTTCTCATCCTGCTTGTATCCGTCACCTCTGATGTGCTTCCTTCACTAGTATATATAGTGTGTATATTCCTTGGTACGATGGCTCCTTTCTTTATCATGAATATTGTCACATTGGCAATATGCATGACGATCGTCAAAGTAACAAAAACGAGGGACTAAATATGTGAATTGCGTCTTCGTTAATATACCAAACATACTCGTAGAACCACATGAATATTCTCAAACTAAACTATCTTTCTTAACTTTGAGCCAAATTATTGTCTACAACTTGACTTATAAATGGTGTAGAATCGAGAAATAAAAATATCTTATCAAAAACGAAGCCTGGAAGTTTTTCCATCTTGTTACGCTGACGTATCGTCAGCGTAACTAGGTGAGTACCAATGTTCACAGGAATGAAAAGATGTACAGTAAAAAGGTATGCACTATGCAATTTATACAATCATAAGTACTGTGCGATGTGTAGAATTTGCCATCTTCATAAAGGGCTGGTTGATCTCTGTCTTCCATTCTCTTACATGTATGTTTCATATCAGGAGTGCACTCCATCTCCTTATACATTTAGTATCTAGGGGGTAAAGAATGCTATGAGTTTTTATTTAGAATATCTTTGATCTTTTGTTTATCTGTTACAGTACATGTATAACATTTGCTGATTTTATTGCAGTTCCATAATGTCCAAAGCAGCATCAGCGTTGAAGTTCAGACGGAAGTTTACATTTGCCACAAAAGATGTAACACACTGGTTTCCAGGACATATGATGAAAGGTTTAGAATATTTCATATCTATCATATCTAGATTTAGCCCATATTGATGAGCTATTGTAAATACACACTTGTTAAAACTCCCATAGTCCATTTTATCAAAGCTGGGGCAGCCCCGTCTACTTATCCACAAAGTTTTATATAATATATCTTATAGGCAGCTCAGTTGTTCAATTGGCCACTTTAATTTAACTCACTATTTTGGCAATGAGTCCAATGTTGCTTCATCATTTAACTTTGAATTTCATTTAGATTACATAAGTATTTCGCAATTTAACAATGGATATAATGGATTTTAAATATTAGTGCAAATACAAATAATTGTAATTTTAAACTTCACAATAACAATGTTTTATAGATTCAAAATAGTGAATCCTTGTATCAAGTTGAAATTCAGCTTTTTTGAAACAGCTCAAACTTTGATTGACAGGTCTATTTTTGTACTTTCCATATTTGGGTGAAATTGATGACCTGTGTTATAAATTCAAGGTCAGGCTGATCTGGTCACTCTCTAAGGCAATGTTGAAATAGACTTTTGATTGAAATTGATCAATTCTAACTTCATATTTCTAAGTTGTAACATATTTATATAAAAAGTGTTCTTTCAAAACATTCTTGGATTTCTATTATCAGCTTATATGAGAAGTTTTAATTGCAATTATTTTAAAATGAGATTTTTGAATGTAGGTTTAAGATTCAAGCCAAAACAGTTGGCTTCCTCACAAAATCAATTATAAGACACAATTATACAGTTATACAGTAAATGTACAATGTATCTTATATTATTGGACTATTTGTTATATTTGAGAAATGTTTGTCATATTTAGAGGAATGTTTGTTATATTTTAGTAATGTTCGTTTAATTAAGGAATGTTTGTCATATTCCAGGCATGAAGCAAATGCAGAGTAAACTGCAAGATGTTGACCTCATTGTTGAGATACACGATGCAAGGATACCTTTCAGTGGACGAAATCCGAAATTCCGAGATACATTACTTGTTCGACCTCATTTATTCATATTAAATAAGATGGACCTTGCAGATCTTAGTAATAAAGATCAGATTGAGGAACAATTAAGGAAGGAGGGAGTTGAAAATGTCATGTATACAAATTCTAAAGATGGACACAATAAAACAATAATGAAAGAGGTATAGTTATACCTCTTGTGGGATTTATGTAATCAAGGGTGTAAATACTTGCCATTTTGGCATAGTCTGTTATTTCAATAATATGCTTAAAAATAAAAAAGGCTGGGTAAATAATTTTGAATTACTTCCCTGTGTTTAACCATGGCTATAGAAAGCCCCTGGTTTAAAAGTGTTTAATTCATTCAAATTCACCATAAACTTTCTCAAAGCAGGGAAAAGAAAGGGAGAGTGTTGTAGCTATATACTTGAAGTTGCTTTGTATGTACAGGTACTTGCATAATACAGAAATGACAGGTTTTTCTCCCTTTACAGATTGTGCCTGCCTTCAAAAAGCTCATAGAGTCTGAGGATAGATATAATAGAGCTCAGGTAACATTATTAATATATTATGTCATGTATTTTGTGTAATAAATATAAGATAATGATTTTTTACATTAGCCCCTTGCGCAGAATTTCATTTTGTGTTTTTCTTAACTATGATACATGTAGAGTGGATTTTAGAATTAATTTCTCTTGAGTATGACAATGCAAATGTGAATAATGATAGGGTATGGTTTAAGTTCTTAGGATTTTGAAATTGAGATGTTTAGAAAAAAAATTCTTGCTTACTTGGTGTTCTGTGGTGCTTTTGATACCAATAAAACTTAAAGCACATGTAAAATGTAGGATAAAAGTGGTCACTTCACTTAATGCTATTTTTCACCATATTTTGTTCTTTTTTAGGAAGTTGACTTCAACCTGATGATTCTTGGGGTTCCAAATGTTGGCAAATCTTCTTTTATAAATGCAATACGTCAAACACAATTAAAAAAAGGAGGTAAGACATACAAATTGCCCTCAAATGACTTTTGGTGAATAGTAGCTCAAATATTTTCTATTTATTTGAGTTATTTTAGTAACTTCCAGCTTACCTCTCTTTCAAATATACCATATTATCTGGAATAACGTGGTTCACGACTCATATAAAAGGCTGTGGTGTGTACCTGTATGTCTGTGTACATGTACCTGTGCACATAAAAGAACACAGGGCTCCTCCAAGGAGGGGATTCTGGCTCTATCTTCGAGTGTAAAATACGGAATATACCAATGAGGTATTGCTCGCCAAATATGACGGTAACCAAGATATAATAATAATAATTAGATAAATCAATACACCAGAAGAGAACTTCAGCACAGCGTGACAATGGAGATCTTCACATGTTAGGTAAATAAACCCCTTTTTGAACCTTAATTTGTTTTTTCAGGCAAAGCTACAAGTGTAGGTGCAGTACCAGGGATTACTAGAAGTGTCTTGGAAAGAATCAGGGTAAGGAACAATTCTTTTTTTTAGATATGGCCAAAAACACTATTATAAGGTATATACGAGGCAATTTTATCCCAAATATTTTAGATAGGGTTTCTAAAACATTGAAAATTGAAATCACATCTGATCTTAGTCAAGGTCAATAGAGTCAGCTATCATCTTTAGATCGATCAGTTTCATGAAAGATATGTACCATAATGTTTTGGTATCATGTATAAATCTTTCAACCTCAAGGTAGACTTCTTGACTATTTTTCTTTCTCTTTCAAAGCCCTATATATTTTTCTATCCATGAAAGGTAAAATAATACAAGAATCATCACTCTCTTTATTTATTTTAGTCTCTTTTATTCGTCAACACATGATATCACATCATATACATACATATATATATATTCCACGGAGTTAAACCTTCTGTGCTGCCATTGAATTGTGGAGAATTACATTGACAACTTTGAAATATAATTTACAAAAATGGAGACTTTCTTCTTTTTGAATATTTTTAACATACAGTATACCATATCAATTCAGCTATTCGTGACACTTTCATTATGACAAATATCCTTACTTATGTTGTGTACTTTTAGGTGTGCAATAGGCCAAAGATCTATGTGTTTGATACACCTGGTATAATGAACCCAAACATCAAAGATGTGGAAGTTGGAATGAAACTTGCTCTGTGTGGTATGTACAAGAACATCAAAGAGAGAAATCACACACATTGGTTTTATTATCCCACCGAACAAAGTTCGAGGGGGATATAAAAAGCCACCCATCCGTCCATCCTGCCATCTGTCCATCCATCTGTTAGTCAATAACTCAAATACTGGTTGACGGATTTGATTCAAATTTTATAGGCTTATGCCTCATGGGTGTAGGACCTCTGCTCGAGAAGGAATTTACAATATGGCCACTCAATTCAAAATGGCGGCCATTTTTTGTAAAAAATATAATCATTGATAACTCAAATACTAATTGACCGATTTGGTTTAAATTTTATATGCTGTTGCTTAGGGACATGGATTTGGTTCACATTTTACACGCTGATGCCTAGGGACATAGGAGCTTTACTCGAGAAGGGATTTTCAAGATGGAAGTTCAATTTTAAATTGGCTGCCATTTTTCGTAAAAGAACGTAATCTTTGATAACTTAGATACTAGTCGACTGATTTGGTTCAAATTTTATATGCTGTGGCCTAGGGACAAACTACCCTTGTTTTGTAACAGGATCAAAATGTTTCAATGAAATAAATCAACTAATTGTAGTTTTGCACTAAATATACATATTGATATTGAATTGATTTTGAAATGCCAATGCTATTCTTAGCAGTTATGTCCCTATCATTGAATATATGCCTGAGGTCTGTCATCAATATAGCCTGAGCTTGCGAGGGCTATATTACGACAGACCGAAGGCATATATTCAATGATACGAACATAATTGTTGTATGACATACCTTTATTTCCATGGCTACCTTATATAAATGACATCACACGTCTGTGTGCGAGTGAAATTTGGAAGAAATGAAACATGACATCAAAAGATTGTCTTGGCAAAAAAGTTTGGCGGCTTAATAATACAGGAATATATAGCCAACCTTCAGCTCCATTGATCAAATACAAAAGCTTTGTATGTAATACATTCTAATAAACAACAATACCAATACAATATTTTGGTATATGTTCTAATATGGTGTATGAAATAATTGTACAAATATTTTCTTCACTTTATGTAAAATTATTATATAAAGACCAGTGGTTGGAAAAAATATATTTTTGCTTAATTTGGCAGATCTGCCAGATCCTGGGTTTGGCAATGGATTCTTACGGTTTCTTTTTGCTTCATTTTGGCATCTCTTTCAATTTTAACAAGAAGAATGTTTAAAAATAATGCACAAAAACATAAAATCATGAGCAAAAGAAATGTCCGTTTTGAGCAAGATTCTCCATAACATTCATTTGATCCTAATGGGCTATTTAGTTTATAACTAAATCCAAACAATTGATGAAATCCAAACATTCCAATGCCATGGCCTAGAAAAAAGATCCCAAGGTTCTGTCCAACATATTTTAAACCAAACAATTCAATGTTGACACATTGTACTTGTAAAAAAAAAGCCCCGTATGCAAAACTCATCATAATGGTACTACTGAATAACCCAATGAAACTATGATAGAAGGAAATCATAACAATAAGGCTGATGCACATTATTATTGAACATGGCAATTAACCTGATGATTTAGGAATGTTATTCCATCTTTGGAAGATATAACCAAAACCTAACCCAATACAAATTCTGCCTAATGAACTGAAAATGGGAAGGCAGATAGTAAAAATTGCCACTTCATGTTCTCGATGAGCAGATCTCAAGACAATGGTGATATTGTTGACAAATGTACCACCAGTTCCACCCAAAATGATACATATTAGAAAGAAGTAATGAAATTGCAATGTTTGTATAATTTGCCAGCTGTTCAAATCTCGAAGACTTGTAGTGTTCTTCCGACCTGCAGCCTCTGGAATCAGTGTAGTTTTCTCATCTACATATTTAGCATCATCTGTTTTATCATCTTCCTTGTTTTTTTCTAAAGTTTTGAAGAGTTCATTCAACTCAGTTCCTTCTGTTTGGATTGTTTCATTTCTTGGTATTTCCTTAAGTAGCGCTATGGCTAACAAATTTATAGCTACTGATATCACAGCTAAAAACAGCATAAAGTCTCCGTACTTTTGATTCTCAGCATCTTTAACGTGGCCTTGTACAAAAAATCCTTGATAGATGGTGCTAAATATTGTTGGAGAAATCCCATATACACAACCAAGAACCACTAGCACTGTAGCTCTGTGTTTTTCCTCAAAGTTCTTACTGTTTACTGCTAAACTTGCGATATTGGGAAATGCTGTTCCAAACATTGCAACTGAATATATGACACAAAACAGCCAGGCATTATGAGCAAAATAGGTTTTGAATATTGTACTCATCCATAATAGTGTAAATCCAACTCCAGTGAGAATCAGACCAAATGTACAAGTAGGTCTTGGTCCAAATTTATCAAATATTAGTCCAACAGGAAACATAATACTTTGTCCTAGGTCACCACTTGCAGCTATGTACTCCACATTTGACTGTGTATAGTTGAAAGTGTTTTTCAAGGCAAGTGCATATGTGTTGAAACTGTATAAGACTCCTGTCAACCACATCCCAAATGTTCCTACCACCAGTGAAATATATTTCTGCATCTTTGATTTCTGTAATTAAAAGAGTAAAAATATTCAGAGAAAGTGTGTAATGTAGTTTAGCATTTATTTTATCACTACAAGCAGTTTGAAACCCCAAAAGGCCCAAAAAAGTTTGGTTCAATCTAAGGCCACATGAAAATTGAGATTGTATTAACATGTTGAATTAAATGGTCCTTTTTAAGATTTTATTCAAAATGATATTGACTGAATTGAAAATATTGAATAATGTTCATTTTAAGGCATTCAAATATTTGAAATTGTTAGACTCACCCCTGCATGTTCCCTCATGGACTTCATTTGTACAGAAGCATGTTAATCTACGGTATTTATAATCCCACGTCAGGTATTGATAGTCAAAAATATGGTAAACTGTTCTAAAACCACTCATTATCACTGTGGTATATTTAGCTCACATGGTGAGCTTTTGAATATTAGTAAGGTCATTGATGCACTTCAGTGATAATACTTCAGTGATATTACATAATCGTGAAATGAATAAGTCTGAATATATCATTGGTCAGAAAACACTAAAACCTGCTTGAAACTGTAAAAGTTTATACACTCTATTCCACACTGTATAGAAATAAAATAACTTACACTATACACTGGCATGTAGCGGCCCTGATATCGATAAATTCTACACGCAATATAACCCGATTTTAGATGCTTGGTTAAAACTTTACACGAAAAAGCCTCGATATCCGGGCATTTACTCTTACACTGAACTGAAAATAGCATCGTCTAAACGTGTATGTCTTGGCTTCCGGGTAAGTTTATCAACATTTATACTCAATTGAAAGAGCAGTCGTGCTTATATCGTGTACCAGTTTGATTGTTTTATATGTGTGTGTATTTATAATATGATAGTCTAGTAATACCGTGTCGTTAGAACAAGTGCTAGATATCGAACTGATGACCTGAAATTAGATTATTGGACTGATCGCGCATCTGATATTAGATGATTAATTTGCATTGAATCTGATATTAACTTGCAACCCAATACTACAGTAAATACCATGACTTTACATTAGAATGATAACACGGCCTCATATTCTAATTCATTATACGTCCATTGCAGGCCAAAAATGTTTCAATGGCGATATTGTAATGCACACGAGAATACATTCGATTCGTATATATTGACACCCCAGTTGTCCGAAACCCAGTTGTCCGAAACCCAATTCCCCGAAACCCAGTTGTCCGAAACCCATTACTCCGAAAAATAAAGTCATAATTTACCAGAGAAAGGGGGGGGGGGGGCGTAGCTTACTTAAGCTTACGTCAGTTTCATGCCATGTATTTGGCCAAATTAATGGCATGGACGCATTCTGATATTCATAGATCTCTCTCTCTCACTTTGAATTGCATCCATTGTATGGCGTTACCAGAATGGCAGGAACGGGAGATTTATTTTACATTGTGATTCTAAAAAAGGTTATTAAAACACAATATATATTACGGAACAGTTTATCTTATCTTCTTCAATCTCTTTTATATAGGCAAAATAAAATGAAACATTTTGAAACAGATAGAATAAGGTATCGCATAGAACTTTAAGAATAAAACAGTATACAAATTACGTTGTCAAAATATTTCGTCGCATTTAATTTCTTAGTCTCAGTCTCTTATCAAATCGTAAAAGAATAAAACATTCTAAACTTAATCACTTGGGATTTATGTTTCGGCATTCGTTTCAGGCATTTGTTTTTTATGTTCTTCTCCTGAAATGTATTTGTTTGACAAAAATCAGAGAAAGTGCGTATACGTATAAATATGCCACGCAAACAAACGGGTGTGACTTCAATTTCTTGTCTGTCTGAGGACGTATTGGGAACGAGGTAGAATTAAAGAATTCTTATGAACAAATGTATTGGCTAAGTTAATTTCTGATGGATCTGGATAAAATATATTTCAAAACTTTGTCAACACTAGATAACTTCATTTAGGCAGATATAGTATCTTGATATATTTGGCTATCATGCGTTTAAAATACGTTCCTAAAACTATGAAGACGTTGGGTGAGAAATATTGCTATTGTACGTTCGAAAAGTATTTGGTTGTATTTTGTAGTTCTCAAGTTACCCATGAACTTTCGTGGGCTAATTAACGTCTTGACTTAGCATATTTAGCCTAATTTTGCAATGATGTCAACGTGATTCAAAATTTAATGTTATGCTGTCGTGATTCGCAGAGGTTGCGACAAGATTCGTTTTAAGAAATTGTATTTTTTGATAAGATCCCCTAATTTTCGGAGAACTTGGTTTCAGACAACTGGGTTTCGGAGAATTGAGTTTCGGACAACTGGGTTTCGGACAACTGGATTGACCCCTATGAGGGTTGATCATACATCAATTGAACATGGAGATTTTCCTGTACACTTTTCCCAAACATGTGGAATAGACTAGATGCGAGTAGAAATTATCTTGATTTATCCTATGCCAAGTAG